ACTTTGGAGAGAGATACGCAACCAAGACGATATACAGGCACTTCAGGAGGATCTGACTCGACTTCAAAGTTGGGCAGACGACGACGGACTTAACTTTAACACTTCAAAGTGTAAAGTAGTCTATCTGAGACATGTCGCAGACTACAGTTACAACTTAAGAAACTCCTGTATAGCAGTATCCGGAGTCGAAAGAGATTTAGGAGTTTTGGTACCTTACGATTTGAAGTCTTACGCTAAATGTGACGAAAATGCCGTTCGAGCAAACCTTGCACTGGTGACATTGAAGCTCATTTTTGGCCAGTTTGACAGAAGAACTTTCCACATAATCTTCAACAGTTTTACTCGTCCCCATTTAGACTACAGAAATATAGTATTTCCTCCCTCACTCCAAAAGGTTAAGGACACTCTGGAGCGCATCCAACGGCGAGCCACGAAATCAGTTCAGGGACTGAAACTCAAACCTTATGAAGAGCGCCTCCAATCACTTAACCTTTATCCATCGGGGTATAGGAGTCTTAGAGGTGACCTTCTGATAGCATACTGTATCCTTAACACTTCTGGACATCCCCTTAAACACTTACTCAAGCTTAGTCCCAATACAAACCTAAGGGGTAACACCCAGAAATTGGAGATACAACATAGCGGAATGAACTGTAGACAATTTCTACTCCTTAAGAGTCGTCAAATGCTGGAATTCCCTGCTGACTGAACTAGTCCAAGCGACTTCCCAGGAGTTTTCTAAGAGGAAACTTTACCTATTCTTAAGGACTAAGGATAATATCTTATTATGAGTTACCAATTTCTTTTCTTGTAATCTATCATAGTTAATATACCCAGGTTCCTGTCAGGAGGTATTGGTGATCCCCTGCTACTAGACACGGAAGCCTGGTAAGCGAAAGCTTCTTCTATTCTATCCACAACCATTTGAACCATTTTAGCTTATTAAATAATACTAGACAGATTTTAAGTGCAAGACCATCTTTGATTACCATGTGCAATGAATACTTTTAAAAATACTACAGTAAAAGTACCATTTAATCAATTATTTCGAATATTCGTAATCCACTGAGATCTGGTACTGGCATAATTTGACTATTTACATTATTATTTTGCTAGCTGTTAGACCTTTCAAAACATCTGGATCGAACTTCTTACACTGATTTCTTACGATCAAGGCAAATTCAATTTATTCCACTCCATCTTTTTCCGATAATTGATGTTCTTACTCCAATAGAATTACGATTTTAATTAAAAACGAGTCAGGGCGATATTATGAGCGTATTTGTTGACACAGCATACGATGGACCTTATAATCCACTAGGAAGAAAACTTGGTTATTGTTTGAGTGATTAATTCCGTATGAATGAGCAGTGGCAGACCAACTGATTGCTCGTGTTAGGTTAATGAAAAGCATGCATTTGGTCACTGTGTATACGTTGATCATGAGTTTTGGAATGGTCGATGTAACGTCTGTTGTTTACCATCAGACGAATAGGTGCCGAGTAATCATTCTCAGTTGTTTCCAGTTACTATTTATTTCTCCGATGTGTTCCTTGATCTTCGATTTTCCGTATCCTCCCAGGACTTCAAGTTAGGTCCTAATGGTTTCTGTAATGTATGTCCTATTCACTTCAAACGTCTTTCATAATTTCCTCTTCAACTGGACGCTGGTTTGCTTTATCCCAGAGTAGGCTGTCGTTGATTTTATCTGGCCAACGGGAATCGAGTATCCTGCGTAGGCAATTGTTTATATGTACTTGCACATATTTCAATATGGTTGAAGTAATTCTCCACGTTTCAGATCCGTACAGTAGAAGTGTCTTGACGTTCGCACTAAAGATCTTGACCTTGGTGTTGGCTGACAGTTGTTTTGATTTCCATTTGTTCTTCTGTTGTAAAGAATGCCGCTCTTGCTTTTTCAGTTCCTGCCTTCATACCCGAATTCCAGACTCTACTTACAAAGATGTATGATTATTTTGTAGATTCCCGACATCCAATCAAATAACCATTAAAACTAAATTAGAACATATAAATAGGTGAATTTCTCTTTCGTATTGCAAAATACGTAAGTGTTGTTCTAAACAACAAAATAATAAGTTTTTTGAAAAGCTCTCAGTGTTTATATCGACAGAATCAGGTCGAGAACGGCAAGTCAAACGCAAAATGAGAATGAGAAATTGAAGTTCGAAGTTATAAGTCATTGAAGTGAAACAGGTTTGTCAAAGCCCAGTGATAAAGAATAATCCTCACAATAATAGTTTACAGTGTGTTTAGCGCTTCAAGACCTTACTGTAATATATTTGTAAAGAGGCATCTATGCAAACAGTGTTATTCCACTTAAAACTTCATCAATGCGTACATGACTGTACAGTAATATTTATTTATAAATTAGTGGGTCAAGTAATGATTGAGTGATGACCTTTGAAGTCAACTACATAGTTAATGATAATAAACTATGTTTGAGTACAAAAGAAAAGCTAGACACCAGATGTTGTAGTAGTGTTAAGAAATGTGGTTAGGGCGGAATGCCACTCAGCCTTATCCAGGTCGTTGATCAAAGCAAACCGCTTTTCCTTGGTGGCTGATCATAAAATTATTAATAGTTTCTTGAACTCTTTTGAGGTCTAGTGTAACAAATTGAGGTAAACGTTTGCACTCCATGAACGGCCTATTTGCCAGTGTCCCCACACTGCACTTTTCTAATCTACTGTAGTAGTAAATAATTCCCCAAAATAAATAGCTCTGTAAGTTTTCGACATTAGATGCTGACTACATTAGTTTTAATGGACTCACCAAGCTGGAGGCGCTCGGTCATGCATCCGCACGAGATCACGAGTGAGAACGCCGTGCTCAACATCCTCTGCAATCGTTGGCCAGATAAAATCCGTCGATCCTCGATACATTGATAACCTATCAAATATATCTTCGAACCGCTTCACTTCTGTCTTTTGATTTCTCTTGGTGGGCACGATTCATGTTAGAAGGTGTTACTGGTTAAAGCATTGTCAAACTCCGAATGCTTGTGGCATCTTCACTACTTTCATCAGTGTGCGCCATTGTTCTGGGAATATTCTGTTTGTTCTTTCAGTCACTAAAGTAGCTTCGTTACCACGATACCGATACAGGGCATCACGAGTTGCGTATTAACAGTGAGGTATGGTTTCACAGTGAGCTTGGAGTTTAAACCATTCTCGTCCAGCCTCATCAGTTCCACCACTTACAAATTAGATCTATGCAATAATCGGACCACACGAAAATATTCGAAAACCAGAAGTTTATCAGAAATGGAAAAATGAAAATTGTAAAATTAGAATTGTAACAATAAATAAGTGAACTTTTACTAAAGTAAATAATAAAGTAAAAAGACAGGAGGGTGAGTAAAATTTGATCAGACTTAGAAGGAGTCGCTACGGTCAAACATTAAAATTTCTTTAGGTTGGAAAGGGGATACAGGAATGACAAACTACATTTCAGTACCAAAACAAGAGACGTTGCCGTGTATTACTACAGATTTTGCCAAGTTAAAAGCACCGGATTGGAATTAATTTGGAATTCCATCCGATGGCCTTTTCTTTACATGACTCACAGCCATTATTCAATCTATGGTACGAAATGCTTTGCCTATTCCTAAGCCTTTGTGAACTACTAAAGGTCATCTGCACCTAATCTTTGGCTATGTTGCCTTGTAGCACAGCCGATGTATTTTTCATGGTTGTAGCAACCGATTTGGTAAACACACACCAAACTTACAAACTTTGATTTTTATAAGGTCTTAAATTTATGGACAAAAGACGACAAAAAATGCCAGCTGCCCAAAGCTTTTTCAGATCCGATGACCATTTAATGACGTAGTGTACCGGGAGCTATATCTCACCTGAACTATAGTTTCAAAAAGAGTTTTCTTCCAGACCTCCATGTCCCCCAACCCATATATCCTGTATAAGTGCACCTCATTGAAGAGTTTTGAGATTACCGCGTTATTAAGTCTGAGCTCTGTATGCGAGATACATGCATTTTTATGAACGTTCTGTGGAACGTTCTAAATTGTCTAAAAATTTTGTGAATATTCAGGGTTTGATAGTGCTACTGTCGGTAGCACCTTCGTTTTTAGGATCACATACCCAGCCTAACTAGATGTCAGGAATTAAGGAGTTCGAGGTATGTTTTGAAAATCGATGATTTATAGAGGATTATATAAGCTATTCTGACTAGGGGTTGCGAGGGTATACTAATACGACATACCTAGTAGTGATCTGGAGCGGATGCTTGGTGTATCCAGTAAAATTATTGGGTTCAAAGTCGGCATTGGTGGCTAAGAGGACCATTCACTTTGGAGAATTATTTATCACTGTACGTCTTATTATATCATATTTCTTAAAGTTGGAGATGCCACAATTACCTGAAGTTTCACAACACCTTAACCAGTAACACCTTCTATAAACGAAACATGCTCACTGAGTGAAATAAGAAGCGAAGAGGTTGGAAGATAAGTTTGATAGGTTATCAATATATCGAGAACTGACTAATCTAAACTCACTCGTGCTAGTGGGAGAAGTTCAGCATGGCGTTCCTACTCGTGATCTGGTGCATATGCGTGACCGAGCACCTTCAGCTACGTGAGTCCGTTAAAACTCGTGTGGTCAACATCAAATGTCGAAGACTTATGGAACTAATGATTTTGGGGACTTATTTACAGCTACAAAGTTCTTGGAATGACAGGCATTCAGTCAAGCAAATCCCTCGGTAATTTTCGCAGACCAAATACAACAACGTTGCTTACGAAAGGTTGTCAGTTAACATAATGAGCCGCGAAATTCTCTTAATTTGGGATAAAAATAATCTAATTATTATCACCAATCGTCACAACTATTTGATCGTCATGTCAATGAGAGTGTATAAGTAGCCATATCTACGGATGCACATTTTTCTTTCTGACAACACAGCTATAAAGTGTAAAAGGATCTATTCAATCAGCAGTTTGTTTTTCTACACAAAATACCTTATTTCACATTTCAATGTTTTACCGACTTTGTGAAATATTTCGGACATAACGCTCAAAGTGATAAAATGTTGGTGATAGAATAAACCTTAAGTTACTTTAGTGTATTGAACTAGATCTGTAGTAGAAATTTTCATTTTCGATGACTAAAGTCGATGTATGCAAATGGTCACCAATAAGTTTTAACCGATTTTTGTCCCATGAAAACAATGTTAGAGATAACATACATGATTACAGATTTGGCTCCCAAAGTTCTGTTTCGAAGGATGCAGACTCATCGAAAAGTAGCAGATCATCTGAGTCCATAAATAAATCTATGTGTGAATGCAATATAGAAGAATCCAATTCAAAAAGGAGTCACATTAATAGCCAAAAAGTGGTTTCATCGTCTTTAGTTTCCGGCAGTAAGTCATATTCATTCGATTGTTTTCTAATTTCTGAACGCTTAAAAATTTTTATAACCTCAAAAAACAGATCGGTTTTAATTTGTGCTTGGTTTAGTTGTAGTAACATAATTCATCTCACAGACCAACTGACAGAATCCATCACGATAACTAACCCACATTGTGCAATGCTTTAAGCATCACAGACCCATTATAAAATTAGTGATGGTCATATCTGTAATGTTATGCAGCTTAAAGGAAGTACAACATAGTTTTGAGTGTCTGATAAGCGAATAGTGTTAAAAACCAATGAACAACCTATATATTTTGTTTGTAAGGGGTTGTGTCAAACGCCCGTTGCAGCTTTTTGAGTAAGAGTGGTCACCAACGAAAGAATTTTTACTTGATGACAGACATAAATTATTATCATATTTCATATTTCATATCACGGTCTCTCAAAAAGCACGATAATAATTTAAGGGATAGCAATAATATACATTGTTTCTGAAATCCTTTTATTCAAAAGGCATTATTTCTGGGTCAATATCAAAGTATAAATGGGTTTAAACAGATACGTTGGCCACCCAGTGTAAAATGCACGTCAAATTTGGAGATTATTATATGAAAATATTTACAATCAAGAATTTCAAGTGACAAAATATTCGAAAATGCGAAATTCCGTTAACCCTCACCACAGTAGCATCTAGATAATATGCTGTTTTCTGTCGACATACCTAGGTTTTATAAAGCCGAATTGTCTTTCTTGAGTATCTTGAAGAGAATCAGAGTTCACCTGTCAGAATAAAAGGTTTGTTTTGTTTCATGTTAGATACTACATCAAGAAGTTACACTCAATGCAGCCTTCAACGGTTTTTATAAATCTCTAGCATGAAGTCCAGACATCAACTGATTTTCTGCAAATTGTGACGTTTAATGATTAAAATTGTTGTTATATTACTGACTGTATGTGTAAAATAGGAGCAGATGTCATTAAGATAGAAAATAGTTTTCTAACTCACTGAGTAGTAATAAATACATGTCTGCTATATCTCAACAAGTAAAAATGTATTTCTAATCGCTGAGATATGACAAAAAGTATATTTATCATTAAATTTCCACCTAACACTCAATTTATTTGAATCCAACAAGTCCAAATTCAGTAATGATGCCTACATACCCATAATGTGGCGATTTGTGGGGTATGTGAGTAATGTTTTCTCTTTTTTTAACATACAAAAGCCATATTAGTATATTTTTAAGCCTAACGATAGTGGCTAGTGATTCGAAGGTGAATATCAGTATGCGGTTGTGGAGATTATGGAGTTTTTGATTGAAATCATAAACCGATTGACGCTACACCACCATCGAACACCTGGAATCACTAAAAAGCCATTTCGTTCAATTGTGGGACTCCTCAGGAGTGCTCATCTACTATCCCGCTCGCGGGATTCTATCCAAGTGCCTTCGGTCTTGCGCATGAATGCTTAAACTCTAGATCACTGAGCCGGCATCTGGCGGTGTTCATGTCTAACCTCAATCAATCCGTGAAATTGAGAGACCGTCTCCTATTGTACTGAAGTAAATACCTTTTCCTAGTCGACACACATTAGCTCCACTGGTCACGGCCCCTCACTAGAACCCCAAGACTTCCCTCACGAAGTTAGTCACTAGTAAGCACATGGTAATTATCAATATGGGATTGAGAAGGTTATAATGTTTTTGATTGAAATCATGAACCGAATGATCATGGATGCGCACTGCTGGTGAGTCCTACAATGGGACAAAACGGCTGTCCAGTACTTCCAGGTTTCAATTGCAGTCTAACATCAATCGGTTCATGGTCTCATTCAGAAGGTGAAGTTGACGTCGCTAGAAATGTCTCGTAATCGCTCACTGCCCCGTGGGTGCATTTGCTCCTTATTGGCAATTGAATTCTTGCTTTAAAAGATAGTTTTTATTTAATTTTTATCTGATATATTTTTTTTATCAATTTGTGCTCTCTGTGAGTAATCGTTTATACTATAACTAATGCTATTGCTGCTTTGGTATTCGTCTTTATAATTTCATCAGTTTGAGAATATTTGGTTTACCAACTTGTGATGATGCATGTTTGCGCCAGGTTATATATTATCTGTGACTGACTGACTGACTGGAAAGGTGAGGAGAATTTACTCCGTTTCAGAAACCTTATCATAAATTGCAGATGTGTCACTCCCTCTATACAAAACAATACTTAGATCACTTGGTAATTCCCATTTGTTCACCTGAGTCTGTTTTAATATTTCCTATGAGAAATTTTAATAGGTTTTCAACATTACTAAGCCGTGAAGTTCAAACAAATAGTGTCAAAAGAAACTAGAATGTCATAAGATGCTAGCATATCAGAACCTAGTTACGTCAATATAACACTTACGTGTTCACAAGAAATTCTTGGTTTTACCTGATTTCATATTCTTTTTCACATGAGGTCATTCATTTTGAATTTAAATCAAAGATTGTAACCTGAATAACTAAATAACCTTAGCATAAGATTTTTATATCTTCATTTATTCTTCCAATTCAAAGGCTGATTTTGAAACGCGAGGCCAAACAAATGCTTTGTACCTCATCATACTGGTACTAATTAGGCAATAAGTAGGTGCTTGGCGTGTAACAAAGCATCCAAAGCTGAGAACCAGGCAATGAAATATCCCTGATTCATCCAAATAATACAAGCGAATAAACAACCCTTAGGCTCGAATACACTACGATGCTAGTAAACAAACAATAAATCCTTACTTCACAGTTTCAGTAATCTATATTTGACGGCGATGTGGTTGGAAAAGTTTGTAGTCTTGCCTAATTTCACAAAACTTGGCAGCAATTTTTTAAGTTCTCAACGGGTAGAAACTTATTCAGCTATTGAGCAAGTAGTAACACAATTAAATCAATATGGTACATCATATTTAATCGTAACGCCAATATTATATTTGTTTGGTCTAAAATGGGCTCTTTACTCATAAAATAGACGTATAGTAAGCATTTTAGTCCTTTAGTCTGTTCAAAGAAAATGGTGATATATTGAGGAAAAATCAATTAATGTTTCTCCATTTTTGAAGAGTGTACAATATTTAGGTTAATCAATAACAATATTTCGAAACTCAGTTGAATAAATACTCATGTATATATATCTATATGTGTATACGTGTATATTTATATTGGTTTTCTTAAATATATATATGCATCGCATACCTGAGTAAATACTTGTCGCTTATAAGCCCAGTTTTTTATTCTTTTTTATTTATTCTATTGTATTTTTGAAGAGATGTTTCAGTCAACATTATCATGTTATTTCTCTTGTCATTTTCTGAATTTCTAAAGTTTTTTACCTCACAAGAGAAAATCAGAGGGAAGGAAATTGGAGTGTAATAAGTTGAGAAACACTTGCAGCATAGTTGTAAGGTATTGTCGACTCGTATCGCTTCATGATATTGAAGTTAACTTACGTTTTATTCTTAATGAATATTCCTTAAGAAATAGTGAAGGGAATGAATCACAAAATGTCAAATCAACTGAAAAATTTGTACTATGTGATTGCTCTTTAAATAAAATAATTATTATCGTTTGAATATCAAATGATCACTATGCATACACATAATCTATTTTAAGTGTTCATATTTTTATTACTCAAGGCCAAAACATGCAGAATTCTAAAACGTAGTCACTCGATGAATCATACATACATCCTTAGCCATTTATTTTGGTACAAGTGAAATCAGATATGCAAATTTGGTTAAGATGTTTTTTCAGTTAACATTATTACTTTTGTTCGCAGCTACAGAAGTACTTGAAACACTTGCCTCAGTAATCTAAATAAAAGGAGTAGCATACTTATTTTGATTCATATCTTAAGTTCAGATCCTAGTTCCCAGAAGAGTCGGTTTGTGGCGGTCATAAGTTATTTGCATGTTCAGCCTTCAAAAACAGTTTCTTGTTCGTTCTACAAAACTACTAAGTTCTCCTATATACTCTTTCTTACTTCTTTTGCTTCATAAGTTTTTGTTTATATTATAAGTTGTTTTGAAATTGTAATTGTTACGTTGGTCAACTTGAGATTTGTGTGTTTGCTCTTCTATTCTGACCACTTTTATTCAAGTCAATTATCACGTAAATATGGCCATCATATCATATGTTCATTATCTATATTTTGCGGGTATAATTTTATTTTTGAATACAAATATTTTAGGTTTGGAAGTGAGATGAGACAGGAAATATCAGGGAGATATAACAAGCACTGAAACTAACAGCTGTGAGTTCAGGTAAATGCAATGGGTAGCATACAATCTAAGTCTTTTGGAGTCGGTAAAAAAATCTAAAAAAGAATTGATGAGTGAATGCAAAAACATATGACAGGATCACTAAGTTAAGAGTGGTTTCTGATGTGGTCAGATAATGATTGTCTCTCTTTAGTACAAAGATATAAATTAAATGGTTCGATAGAGAATGTGTAATGAAGAAGTGATATGGCTATCCTTTTCAATTTATTACTTTGAGTGCAGTAGTAGTAATGCATCATAGTTTCCTTAAAACTCTGGACCAGATCTCGATGTGACTAGATGACACATAATTACATGAATAGATACATACGAATCCTTCAGGACCAGACTATTAAAAATACACTTTTGTTACGTGGACCTCTGAGTTCATCTCAACCAGTTATCTTTTAGTATGTGCTTTAAGAAAATATTTTTTATAATGGATATAAAGTTATGTAGCGGGATTCGAAATCGAGATTCGTATATCACTTATCAGATAGGGCCTGTTACTGCATAATTCACAGCTCAAAAAGCTAAAACAAACATTTAGAGAAACAGTTAAATACTTTATCTGCAAAAACTGATATCTTTAAGAGACTATAATTATTTTGGATGATTTGATGTACACATACATTAATTTTATGTTAGATGTTAGATGTTTAGCGTTTACGGTTAGCTCTTAAGATATTTCATTGAATAATCTCTTTGTAATAACTTTTTTTGCAATATTATCCATCATTATGATAACTTCCATTTATTTAACAGATAAAATTGCCAAATCAGTATTTATATTAAAAGATACAAGAAGTCATCAGTCAAATAAAAGGGCAACTTTGGAACGAAATGAAATTTCAGACATCACGACACATGAAGATTTGATAAAAGCCAAATCCACGGAAGAATTAAAAGGAAACATTTCGGTCAAAAATGAGATAAAAATTATCAATAAAACTAAAAGTAATCAACTTAAATCTTTATCATCTCAAAAATCAGATGTATACTGTATTGCAGATTCCAACGACACTTTGAATCAATTGAATCAAAAGAAAAATTATAAAATGGTTAGTAAACTGTCGTTTCCAGAAACAAGAAATACAGAACATGAAATGCACATAAGTACTGATAACACTGATTCTAAACCCACCAATCATAGTGATAAGAATTCTTCCATATTACATAAAACTAGTAATAATTTTCATCAGTTTACAAATAGTAATGGTGAGAAAACGAAAAGTAATAAATCTACTAAACGGAAAAGTTATTTGAAACAAAACGCAACTCTCTTACCAAATGTACTGAGAGCAGTTGACTTTATACTGCCTACTGACGAATCAATCATTCGTCCTAATAAGTTACCACATACAGGAGTGAGTTGATAAATACATCTTATATATGTTGTTATTATTCATTTAATGTTCTGAAGTTTCACGAAGACAAACAATATTATTTGCATTATATTTATGAATTATATCGGCACATCTAAGGGCTGTTTTATCTGAAAATATGTTGAATTACATTTTGATATCATTATAAATACGCGTATTTACATATAGAATGAAAATGTAAATAATAAGTTGTGAAAAACGCTCCAGGTTTCTTGGTTAGAGCAATAAATTACCAATTACAATGTGTTTGTTTAATATAACTTGTTGTTACTACACCATTCTTAAGTAGGACATGCTAACATTTATTATTAACTATGAATAGCACTTGGCAACAGTTGGAAAGAAGAGCATAGGACAGAGTAGATTGAGGATTCCTGGTCGGACCCTATACTCCGCAAGGAGTAACAGGAGTAAGTTAGTGATTATACACTTAACAGTTTTACATTCACAGTTTTAGAGTCACACTTATAATTTGGGCTTAAAAACAAAGAAAAGTTCTGCCACTCAAAATTTTTAATATTTTAGATCATTGCTACATCAGCGAAATACGAGTAATGAGAAAATGAACAAATTTTGAATGCACACAGATTTTATTTTCTGACCTACTGGAAACTTTTGTATGATTAATTTTCTAAGCTACTATATGCAACAGTTATAGAATTCACGTAACCATCAGTAGTCTGAAAAGTGAAGGAAATGAGAAACTGAAATGACAGCATTAACTTGGATAGTGATTCTGCGATAGATAATTTATTTGTTTTGAAAAAAACATTATTGGTGATAAATTCGAAGTAATAAATTATTCACTTTATAAAAAATCTCAATCACAGTCTATGAGTAATGAATTTTACTTATATCCATTTAGTTTGCTATTACTATCTTTGAATTAGAAATAAACAAAATAATCACTGAAATCCAATTCACAATTCAATTAATGAATAATTAAAACTGACTAAGTGATTCTGTATTTTATAAAATGGTTAAGAGATTAAAGAAAAACACAACAGCTTCTAATATAATCACTCATGACTCTGTTGGCAAAGAGGGAAAAGATGAAAATTGATGACTTGACTATGAAGAAGTAGTGGGTGAGACCTTCAAAAGTTATTGATTAAAATTCGCATTATTAAATAAAATCCACGAAATGTTGTTAAATGCTTATTCAAAAAATTAGTTGTTTCGACCAACTTCACCATCATTTAATTAACACGAAACATGACTTATGTCGTTAAGTGAAAAGTTAAGGGTTTTTCATCTTAGACTTATTACATAATTCTGAGTACAGAATACTGTACACTTTTTTAAACATATTAGTTTCTTACATTTCTTCCTTGCAGTTTACTCTATTTATTTATTAAGAAGTCTAAGTGTTAAATATCACACACATGTACTTGTTATTCTCTGAAATCAGTGTATAACGCCCTATATAATGACGGAAAATGATGTGTCCATGAGAGGTAGCTGGTCAACTAGAAAAGCATTTAAAACCGATTAGAGCATTCTGCACAAAGAAAATCGTTCTCTTATTAATTGAGTTGACTGACTTACATTCTTTTTTATCATACCTTAAATGAAGTGTTTAGAACTATTTACGAGTAAAACCTTGTTTTACAAACAGAATGACGTAATTTCTATCAAATTGTGTGCTGATAGGCTTTGACAACAATTGCAACAGTTTTTTATGTAGTTATTATCATACAATGAAGTCACTTAACTATAGTACATCATAAAAAGTAGATATATTTTAATTCCTCATAATCACGAAGCATTTAGAAGTAAAGTGATAGACTCAAAATGTTAACTTACTAATTAAAATAATTTCAAACTGCTGTGCAGTGCACTACCAAATATAACTAAACAATTTTGTTCAGTCAGAATGTATTAAACGACAGTATCAAAACATGCTTCATTCTCAATTTTTTATCTTAAGTGGACTATGAGCCATGAATGTTTCACTATCACTAGGTATGAGTTGTTACTTCATTAAAGATAATTTGTTAAAAAATAAAATAAAAATTGTGAAATACTGTATTTTGAAATCATAAAATATGAAATTGACACTTTTGATATTTGGCAGTTCTAGTCAAAAGTAAATAACTGACAGGTGTCACATGTTTTGTAAACAGTTAAATCGTATTAAGTAGATCATAAATATTTTGATGTAAGCACTTTAGCATCTTACATAATAGTTTAGAAAGTTAGAAAATTAGGCTTAATACATTTGATGTAATAAAGAATTTCATCGATAAACATACCGACCCTCAATGTCATGAAGCCTAATGCATTGCTCTGTTGAAGATTATTTATTCCCACTTTAGATGTGCTACAATGATATGGTACATAAATATTTACCTGACTAGTTTTAATCAGATAAAATTTGACTCTCTTTCTACAGAATTGATCTAAAATCATTTGTGTCACTTTGTATTATGTACTTAAAAAGAAAAAATAACAAATTAAAATGTTGCCATGTTTAAAGAAAGTTTTATGAAGAAAAGTGTGAAAATGTTGTAGATTTTACTCAGAAAAGAAAAAAATAGCAAAACCTACGTAAAAAAATCGCACTTCACTGTTGCAATATATTTTTTGCAGTGCATTCTGTCATATAATATTGAAAAATACATCAATAAACGCTAAACCACCCGTAAAAACATTAATCAACTAAACACTCATAAATTTCTACCCTTTTTTGATGAGCGGTTTTTTTACCTTTATTAAAATATTTCAAGAAACTATAAAATATGTTAATAATTTGGTAGTTATGTTTCAAGTAAATAACATAGTTCATCTACTTATTCACAAAATAATATCATAATTTGTGATAGCTACGTTGATACATTTACAATGTGATATGAGGTTTTTAAAATGACTGTTAGTACAGGAACTCTTAAGAGAGAATATTTTTATTTCTTAAAGATGTGGTCAAACTGGTTTCTATACTTGATGGTATAAAAATAGTTTCTTTTTAATGTCTGACCACTTCAATATTGTTTGCTTCATATCAAAACGAAGGTTGATATCAAGTGCTTTTAATCATGAGCTGATGTTCCACTGACATTTCTGGACATCATTATCTGAAGGAGAGTTCTGAGTAGTCGTTGCTCAATAATGGAATTCCCTATCATTTCTAGTCATAACGTCCCAGTGGAAATATCCATGATGATCATCTACACGATCAAACGATTAACCTAGAAAGGAAAAGAAATCAATAGTAATAATCACTCTACTTAATGTCGAAAATCTTGGTACAGTAAAATGTTCCAACTACCAGTTGTTTAATACTGCAGCAAATACCGCTCAAAATCTTCCACCTGCATTCAATCATCAAAATTGTCTAACAGTTCAGTTGATACATACTTTTCTGTGGATTATGCTTGAATTTTAACTATTTTTACACCGTTCTATCAAAGGATAGATAACAATGAAATTATGTCAAGTGAAATTGTTTCTGCTTGAGTTTTTCGGCATTAAGTATCATAAATATTAGTAACGTTTTCAGACAGTGTATCAGTACATACTGTTAACGCTTGCAATGATTCAATTAAACCAAATCTGCAATAGGTCCTTTAATTGTGATATATGTACAGATAGGAGAAAAGTGGACCTGACATCTAAGTAAGACGCTATATATTTTTGTTCTCACATGTCCGTAGTTTCCCATTTCATTTCAGTAAAACGATAACACTCCGTTTTAGTGTCAAATTTAATTTTTTATATAACTTATCAATGTTATGGCTCAAAGTGACAGCCGATTATATGACAGTGACTTATCGATCGGATCAAGGATTCAGAATCTCGATAGACTATTCTGGTCCGTTGTCCCCAACTCTGCTAACTCGATCAAGAAGTCTGGGTAAGGTGTAGAAAGTGTATTCTACAGACAAACAGCAGATAACAAGTCAAGTCAAGCACACAAATCAAGCGTATTTATACAAATATTTACAATCGATATTGTCATGGAAGATTTTTGAACATTAATCAACAATTGACTGCTATTTGAACATTTAATCGATAGTTCATCAATTGACCTATTTGTACATTTAATCGATAGTTCATCAATTGACCTATCTGCACATTTAATCGATAAGTAAATTACAAAATTTGAGTTTTGGGGATCTATCGTCCCCAACATCAATTTGTGAACAGATCTAACAAACGTTTGCGGAGTTTGTCGAGAATGCCAACTTTGAGTTATCATTGTTTACTGTAGTGGCGTTAGCAACTCAGTCGTTCAATATTGAACTCTTTACTTGAAAGCAGGATATATAAGTTCTCATTCTACTACGATCCTACCACTTAAATTTTTCAACATTTTGATATTCGGTAAGCTAGCTACTGATACATATCTCCAGTTTTTCAATATGTTTGTTATTAACACCTTTGAGGTTTCTTTGTTTGTTTTTTTTCACACCGTTTTCATATTTGTCAAATTGGCAAATATCGTTCATGAATTTGCTTTCGTTTTATTACATTTCTTCAACCTCTTGATCGTTAACCAACTCTCTTGAGACATTTACACTGACCGACTACTTCATGTAATTCATTCTCTTTTTTAAAAAGACTATTATAATTGTTAGATCACTATGAATATATTTATGTAGCCTCAGTATACAATATTGTTGAGAGGAAAACTTTCTTTGTTGAATTGTCTTTTAAGTCTTTTTCCACTACAGTTGTTGATTTATTCTACATTTTTCTTTTTTCGGAAATGATTAGACTTTTAAATTTGTAATCATGTTGTTAAGACCATACCAAATGACTGTAAAGCATTTTTTTACAAAAAAGCTTAGGATTTTTACAATGTTATTGAGTTAAACATTTATCAGGTAAAATTCAAAGGAACTAGTAAACCACTATGGCAGCAACTTGTTACTGAGGTTCGTTTTTTGAGAAATACTATCTGTAGTGAACATAGCGTGTTTTCACTCAATAAATACAGTAAGTCTAGGCAGTAACAATAAATAGCTGATTTACTCAACAATGCATTAGTAATAAGTTAGCCGTTTTACTATTATACATAGTTCAAACATTCCTAACACAACGCCTCATTTCCAATAAACTTCTTATTATAGGTTAGAGTGATAAGTAACCAACTGGAGGGTTATAGATCTAATACAAAGTGTCTAATTTATATAGTGCCAAACTTAAAAATGTGTAGTTTAAAGCCAAGTCTATAAAATACCAATTATCATTTTTGTTATCATTATATAAAAGACACAATTATTAAGGTAGTACTTTGTATAAAGGCATACTTAAGAAAGGTCATCCAAATTCAGATCAATAAATCAACAGTAAAATGATAATGAAATAAATCCTATCAATAATATAATACTGAATATATTTCTTTTAACTATGTTATGATATGATTCAAATAAAAAAAGAGAAGATAATGAACTTATTACCAACAAAATTATCATATAGAGATCACGTGTAAAAAAAACAACTCATCATTAAAGGTTACTTTCGTAAAATTCAACATATTCATTAACCTAAATTAATGTTTGCTGGCTGATCAGTGTAATTATTGTTGAAATTGAATAATAAATTATAAGATTGGGTCTTTCAGAAATAATTGATACTCAATTTCTTTAATTCACAGTTTACATTATTGATTTATAAAAATAATAGTAATGCTGATATTTATTGTAATAAAAGATATGTATCAAATATGTAATTCATTCATTTAATTATTGCAGTAATAATTCAGTTGAACCAAATATTTGTAAACAATTAATCAAACGGTCATATATCATATATAGACAAATTTCTTTTGACAAACTCTTTTAACTTTTGTTGTAAAATGTGTTTACTATTTAGTAAGTTTAACAAGCAATCAATTTTATATCAAAATGGAGTGCTATCGTTTCGATGAAGCACAAAAGAAAACTATAGATATAATGCAGAAATTCTTAATTTCATTGTTTCATACTCGCATAAGATTATTTAGAACAGTAAAATCGTCTTTCGTATGTAAAGTATTGTGAATTAGAAGTAAATGTCAGGAGTACATGCACATTGTATTTTGGGATATTGATAAAGATTTGTAGCTCAAGTGGATGATCTTAAGAGTAATTTCATTCCCTGACCCAGTTGGTTTTAATAATTAAGCTACTCAGCTCTGTGAAGGAAGATTTCACCGAAAAAATTTGTATTTTAACCATCCTGACTAATGAGAAAATGATTTGGAGTACTATGGTTTTAAGTTATTTGCTCCTTAATCATAACGCTTTTTAACAATAGGTGTATTTGATTGGTCCTCACAAAGAAAATATACTATGAATAGTTATAGCATTATTAAATATATTTGATCATACTTTTACTCCGTGTACTATTAAATAAGGTTATCCTACTATTGTATTACTAGAAACTTTTACCTGAATGAATAACCATTGTAAAGAAAAAATATTTTCTACAGCCTAGAATGAAATTAATTTATTGCATGATCATTGTTTGCCAGATGTGGTATGTTACATCGGTCCTCAATATGAACAATAAACTAGTTTCATTTAAGTCAATGTTTAATTTAATTACAATATATCACTATCATAGGAAATGGATTAAAGTTCGCCAAAGATCACGGGACTTTAACTAGCTAGTCACAGGTAAAATAATATCATCTTAAGTAAGACAGAAGTAAGTGGAAACTTTTCCATAGTGCAATGTATTATCATAGAAATTATAGGAACATGTATTTTTAATCAGTAGTCTAAACGAATAGCTCCAGGTCCAAGAACTAAGAATCATGGAGTCAACCCTATACTGAGTTGTAGGTACTCTTGTTTAAAGGCTTAGAAATAAGATAGAGCGGTCGATCGTTGACCTCTACATCTCAACAGCCATTTAGTTCATATCGTTCTGTTATGGAAAATAACTTAAAGTTACGTTCTTGTTTGATTAACAGCTATAAGACACTGATTGAATCTTAGATCATAAATGATCGTATAAGCGTTATATTTTCATTTCGAAACAATAAATTCCAAACATTTCATGACTGATATGCATGAGTAAATAGATGATGTTCAACTGGTTGACAAATTTAAACTCAAATACCATTACAGAAAAATCAACCGAATCGCTACAAACACTTATCGATATGAGATATAAAAACAATTTTATGACCTTTCGATAATTGAGTCTAACATTTCAAAATTAAAATTGATTACATGGATATCCGTAGACTTTTCAATTGACAGGATTTGAAATAACTGAACTCTGAATGTTAATAATTTAATAAATAGCATAACAAACCATACAAAAACATATTGTTACACATTCAATGTTACTGTGTTTATGAACAAATTACTAAACCGTTTACAATTTTAATAATTAATTAATGTCAGTATAGTTTGTGGAGATTTTAAATTTCCAATTCACTGACTGACCTTAGGGAATCATTGAAAAACAGGAAATACTGGACAGCCGGTTTTTCGCAGTGGGGGACTCCTCAGCAGTAGCCAACCACGACCCCCTCTTGGATCTAGCTCAAGACTTTCAGGTCTCACAGTGGCCGTTTAACATTAAGACCATTTGGTTGGCATCTAATGGTTTACATGTCTAGCTTCAAATAATCTGTGATGCTAACAACTCAGTAATTTACAAGATAAGCATTTGCCTCGAAACCTAAAGGTTTTGAGTTCATTTCCAAGTGTGACCGTGGATGCCTAGGGCTGAGGAGCCTTATACTGTGACGAGGCGCGTCTCTGATACTCTCATTTTTTCAAGTAACTAAGGTCAGTTTACTGCATAAACTATCAAATTAACTTATAATAACACATAAAGCTAGCCATGCAAAATATTAGTAAATTATGTTAACTTAACAACTGTTCATTTTCTTAACTCATAAGAAAAGTAGATAGAATAATTTTAAACTGATCGACGGTTTACTTTAGTGAATGTTTGGATAAATGGTAAGATAAAATATTACTCAACAGTAACATTGAATATTTTCTTATTTTAATGATACAATAATAATGTTTTATTTTATTATTTATTAGAGAGGAGTGAAAACTTTATCAGCTTCATGGAAGCCAACAATGTTATATAATGGAGAAAAAGGAAAACGACCAATTAATCGAAAACAACGAAGAGATACCATGGTAAGTATGATAATCTCATGATATAAGCTGAAAAAGATAATAACAATAAGTTTTATTATCGATAACATAAAAACTACTATTTAGCAAAATACGTTATAAATAGGTTAAGATGATTGCAGTTTACACAACATTACAAATTCCTTATCATTAATTGATTTCATCATAAAATAGCTATCTTACTCATTTTTAAGTTGATAAACAACATATTTCGTTATGTTTATTACATATGGAGAATAACCATTATTATACAATAATATTCTATTAGAAAGGAATAATCAATTAATGGTAATTCACAATGAAATTATAATGTTCATTTGAATGTGAAAATTCACTTCAAAAATATAGAACAGTCGTGTAGCTAATGTTCTATTTCATTGTTTTATTAACACTATGATTTCAGTTGTTTAATTAAAGTATTTTAAGTCTAAGAAGTAAAAAAGATGTGGTTACGTAGAATGTATTTATGTTCAATACACAGTAGGTAGGTATCCACTTTATTGTTTCCAGTGATATAGTGCATTTTATCAAAAATGAAAATATTCAAAACTAAGTGTGTGTAAATTTCTTTGTTTCAAATGTTTATAGCATTGTTGCGAAAAGATGATTATACACGATATCTTCAATATAGTTATCAGTCAACACTCATATATGAATATGTTTCTTAACAACTCGTTACTCAATGTTACCTTTACATTATTAAACTCTAAACTATTCAAAAGATCTCTTCTAAAAGCCGTTGTTTGTATGGAAAACAAGAGATTTGAGACTTAAAAGAAAACAGTGATTTATTTTGAACTTATTTTCGAACCTTCATGACTGAGCTTCATTAAGGTAGGGGGCGCGAATCCTGGATTTCACTGTTAGACACATATGTAATCAAGTTATGTTGGTGTTAGCTAGTTTATTGGTGATGTATAATGTTTAGTAATAAATGAAAATTTAACATCAATGTTTCATCTTTATCTGAATCGTACTGTACAACATTCGCCGGACTCACGATAAACAGAAGTCCTGGTAGCTTATTTAACTTCAACTTCTTTTTTACAATTCTAAGCAACGAGTACAATTGAAGTTAATTATCAATATATGAAATAGCTTTAAGTAGATATGGTTTAAACAAGACATTTTTTAAAAGATTCTCAAGTGTTTAGCACATCATTTCAGTGATAAGTTTATTTTTAAAACTGTATATGTCTTCGTTTGAAGACTTCGGAAATTTTAGAAAGATTATGAAAATCTTAAAAACTGTTTTATTTCAAAGGTAAGATTTTACAGAAAAATGTGAAAAAGACGGAAATATTATAATTTATATGAACGATTAACACTGAAATAAACAGGAACCATAGTAATAAAATTATTTTACTGGAAGTAATAAGGAAGTTCAACTACTGTTACGAATAAATTATTTAGCAATCGTACAGTTTTATACGTGTAATGATGAACGAAATCGATTAATTATTCGGAGAAAATCTGGTAAATTACCTGCATTAAAAAGAACTAGCTAAAAAATTTAGGTCACGGACTGATCTGCGTTGAGAATCCGTAAGCACTCAACAGCCGTTTCGTTGCAGTGTCAGACTCCTTGGCAGTGCAGATTCACAACTCCATATGGGGTTGAACCCAGGACCTCTAAGCCTCTTGGTAAGCACTTAATCTCTAGACTATTCAGCTGGAATCCAATGATTTGTGTGTTTAGCTTTATTCGGTTTGAGATATTAAACAACTATTTCGCGTTACCTGCAGTGAGTGAGGACATGATTATTAATAGCTAAGTTTATTTAACGAAGACTAGTCCATGATGAAAACAACTAACTTCAACGATTTCCTAAAGCTTTCTATAGTAATAGATAACAATGTGCCCACAACTGATTAACTTCTAGGGGTTTGTAAATATCACAGTATGAAACTTATATTAGTAGTTATAAATAAATTGTATATAGTTAACGACACAAACTGAAGTTCAAATTGTTTATTTTGTGTCCCACACAAATGATTATATAAATAGAACATAATAAAGCAAATGTCAGATTAAAATAAATCAGGAAGACAATATCAGAAACTACTTGGCTTTCTGAAGCACAGTTTATAGTGCGAACTTCAGAATGCATTGCATTATCACATAATTTTATAATGACAGGATGCTTGATCATTCTTTCTATAATTAGCCATAAGTTTGAATCTAAGGTGGTACACTAAATTTACAAGTCATAGTTAATATCTTCTAGGTCAACGGATCATAACTTTGGTTAGTATATCTAACTTTATTCGTAATTTACAGGAAAGATAAACAGCTTGTCTGAAAAACAATATTTCATGGAAATTCCAAATATTTAAGTGAAGTTTAAATCTTAATTGAATTTGGCCACAACACCAGAGGACAAATAACTTTAAAATATATCTAAACATGCTTTTTGTAACACAGTTTCAAAGTCTGTTGTTATTTACTTCTCGATTTTTCTCTATGATGATTCCTTCTCCTGGATCGCCAAGTGCATAAGGCAAAACATAATTCTACAATCTGAGTTAGCGAGTTTTAAATATTTTCGGAGCATCAATAAGTTAAACTATTTATCGCATCAATGACAATCGATCAAAATGTACAAATAATCCACAGGTTTTTTATTTGATTTTTTTAAAACACTCCTATTTCCATTGTCGTATTGCATACAATAAGTTTTTGATGTCTAATGTTCACCAATCTAGACAGAACTTATCAGTGATCACCTAAAAGAAGCTTTTATAGCTTGATACTTCTGACACTAATCAAATAATCATGTTGTTTCAGCGAAATAAATCTATTAGTATTCCTCTGTTCCACTTAGATTGATAACTAGTGAATATAACTAATTAAATAAAAATAAAATTTCGCTGAAATGGGATCAGATTTCAAGTTTCCTTTTTACGTTAAATGAATAAACTGAATTTTTCGAAAAATATTTTTCTATAGTTTTTACTTTTAAAATTGAACAGTAGACAATTCAGTATACATATTAGTTAGTTTTCTTTATTTGTTTTTTCGATCTGCTTACTCTATACTACTTACGTTTGTATAATGTGAAATTTCTAATATTTATAGTATGAAAAAGGATATGGTAAACTTTCATCTTACAAAATATACGAAAAGTTGGGTGAAGTGAGTTTCTTATCTCAAATATCTTGATAACTGTAAAAAGTCGGTATACATTTGTGAAAATTGTTGAGTTTAAATTGATATCATGAATGAATCAATGTCAAACCACCACTGAAAACTTCGGAGAACTAGATGGTTTCTTCGTTTTAGTATGGAACTCCTCAGCGGTGCGCATCCACAATTCAATATGCGTGGCTCGGACCTAGGATCTTTGGTCTCGCGGGCGAATGCTCAACCTTTAAAATACTGAGGAGTCCTACGCAGGGACGAAACGACCGTTCAGTTCTTCCACGATTTCAGTGGTGGTCTAAAATTGACCCATTCATGATATTAGTTTAAAATTATAAAAAGATTGACTAATTTACATTTCATCCACAATAAAATATTTACTTGATGTCAATACTCTAACACATCATTTTACCGATAGCAATATGCTATTTAACACATCAAGTGTTGAGTAATTATTATTCTAATTTCTTCACTTATGATGCTTTAAAGTTTTTGAATCACATTCAAACCTGTCAGTTTTTAATGACTGGATTTAAGAATTCTGTAGTGATCATATGACTAGCCTGATCCAACTAGTTTCAAAGTTCTAACCATCATACTCAAAGTAAATTAGTAATTTGAGATATGTAGTCAATAATTATTTTTTATATTTATTTTGATAGTCATAAATAAATATGAAAAAACAATTTTTAAGTGTATAAAGCATATATATTATGTTTTGAAACAATATATTGTGTTTATTCGTAAAATATTTTTATAATACTGAATTGATCGCCCTTTCTACTGGTATTCAAAACCATCCATCTTAGTATTGATTTTGCAATTTTATAATTTTACAATTTTGTAGCATCCTCTTTTAATCAATCTCAATGTATCCGGTACACATGTAATATCACATATCTATTTCAGTTACTGTAACAATAATTCTAGGCGTTCTTACATTAATACATGAAAACAACTGTGATATAACTGAAAACATCATAATATTTTACATGGTATCCTCATTGAAAAAATAGAGTTCGAAAAACCAGTTTAATAAATATTTTATTTGCAATATTATGCTATGTAATTTTCGAATTCTAATCAGTTTCTTTTCAATTTTTATTCAAAACACAATAAAACTAACTTCAAGGGAACATATGCAACTGTTTATAAGGGTTATAGCTTAGTATCTAAACAATTAGTGGCTTTGAAACGAATACGTATGAAAAAATCTGAAGGTGCACCGTGTACAGCTATACGTGAAATTAGTCTTCTTCGTGGATTGAACCATGCAAATATTGTGAAACTGCACGATGTTATTTATGAGGCCGGTTCATTGACATTGGTATTTGAATATGGGGTAAGTTGTTTCCACTCTTTTCTTCTTTTCATTTCTGTGTTCAATAATTGTGATAAACAATAACATAAAATAATTACCATGTATCCTTATTATAGGTTTTTGTGTAACTGCAGAGGTATGAATATATCAACTGGTAAATGTTTTCTACGATTAGTAAATATGCTAGACAAATTTCGAGATAACTTGAAGTATGTAGTTGATATTACAGTTTACTAGCGAATAATTATGTTTACGAGTGAAATGTTCTAAAACGTTCTTGTTATATTTATTATTAGTTGCAAAATCTGTTTCTTTATAATCAGTAAACAATTAACATTGTTATATATATATAGTAGAATAAAACATTATAAAGGTCGGACTGAAAGTAATACCGTACGTTTATGCACATGTGTCCCATCTATATTCTTCCCATAATTATAATTTTTGAAAATGTCACATGTAATATCTCTTTACAAACAGAACCTATACCTTGAAAAGGCCCGCTAATGATGAAAGATAACGTTTTTACTAACTTCCGTAGTATTGTTTTGAAAGTGGATTAAAATGTTTATACTTCACTTCAAATTTATGAACCATGCATTGAACGAGTATATATCAGAATGGATTTATAAAAGGATCAATATAATATTTTGATTATTTTAGAGCTACATAAACATATAAATTGAGTGATATTTCACCTCAAGTTCACGTAACTCTGTGATATGATTGCACAAACTTAACCTCTGATTTTGACTGTGTTTTTCTGACTTCACTAGAATTGAAATCTGTATGTCGTATTTGATTTCTTAGTCACTGAATTCTAATGAATCAACTGTATTATATATATATATATATACTAAGATAACTATTAAAAAATGCAAGTTTATTCCGTAAATGTTCAAATACATAAGTATATTTCATGAGTTACGCTTCATATAATCAAACATTTACGCATTATACAAATAAACTAATCTTAGATGTTAATTTATTACAAAAATCAACAACAGCGCTGATGAATCACCAATTGTTTTTCAGTTTGTAAATATATATTATGCATAAATCCATACGTATTGTGATAAACTTGCAATATCACAGTAACTCAAAATTCATATGAATGTGAACAATAATAACAATTTTACTTTAATTAAAGAAAAGAAAATTGATATCCATAAGTATCTATGTGTACTACACTACAGTAATTAACATACATTGTTTAAAGCTAACTCAATTATTTTCTTAGTAACTCTCATGATAAATTTAGTAGTAGTAACAGTTACAATATATACTCCGATTTCACATAATCTCTGTTACCCTTTATTGTTTCTGTCTTGTTTTCTCTACATCTATGAAGTGTATTTTTTTCTTTTTAAGAGTTAAAAAAAATGGTACTATATTTTGTTTTATTTTGTTTTATTTAAAATCATTTGTCTATCTGTAATAATAATTATTTATCACAATGATCTGGATTTAAAACATTTTCTGATCTCGTGGTAATCGATTTTGCCTAATATCAATCTTTTCTTTTATGAAAGAAATACACTTATTTAATTTCTTACGTCGATTACAAGGCACCAAGTTTAAATATTTCTAATATAGAATAAAAAAATATTTTACATGTGTTCAATTAACAATGGTTAACATAATTGTTTAAATGATAAACTGTGACAATCCTGATTTTGACTGATTACACAAATAATATATGACCATGTATTAATGTTTCTTATGACTATGAAATTATCAAGGTTTTCCATGCTTGTTTTCGATTTCCTATTGTTGATAATTTACTTATATCTCACGAATGTTATGTATTCATTTAAGTCAAATTACCAGTTCTTTTAAAAATAAATATCTCTACAAATAAAATGACTACTATAAGTTTATTTATTGAAGAATATTTACTCATTTGTTGAAATAAATGTCATTCTTCAGGTCTTATATTTCACTAAATGATAAAGGCTTCAACAACTATTCAATACTGGTTATTTTACATAAACAGTTTAAATTGAACACACTCTTTTATATGTAATGGTATAGATACTATTATTATATAGACGAAAGAGATGTATAATACTATGCATTCTAGTTTTCAATAATTTAGTGTCTGAAAATAACATTTTCAATGACACAAGACAGTAATGATGTGATGAATTCAAAAAAGAGTACTTATCATTAAGCTAATCATTATTACAAAAATATATTTGACTGTAAATATTTCCATCTATGTTGTAAAACTTATGGGTGAGTATCTTCAATATAACAAACATGGTAATCAGTCAAAACTTTAATAAGGAGACAGATTTTTAATGTCATAAAATAAAGTACTCTAGACATGTACCACACATTATCCCGAGATGCACGATTCCAGTTATCAGTGATAAGTTCTCTCACTGTATATAATGACTATCTTTAAAAAACGATAAAAAAAGAGTAAATATATGATTCAGTTACGTCTAAATTAGGTAATATATGTATATCTATCACTTTATGTCTCAGGTTCTTCAGTGTTGGAGATGAAAACATATAAAGTAAATTTAAACAGTGTACAGTTAACTCATTAAAAAAGTGTAATTAGTTACATGAACTCTACTTTTCAGAATTCTAATAATTTTAAAGTACTGGAATTGACAATTGTAAACTTTTATCATTTAAAAAGTGATAATAGAAGTTATAGGATGAAATAAACATGTTTGTAATTGTAGTGAATTTTTAAAAAAGTAAATTAAATATAGTAGTTCAAAAGTAGTATTTAACATTATCAATCCGACCTAAAGCTGAATTATCATTTTGAGTTCAATAAAGCAGCGAATTTGCAAATAAGTGTCTAGGATTATTTTCTATATAAGCATACAGCAAAATTTTCCCAAAACGATCAGTAGACTCCATGTAATTGAATGAAGCATTCTCAGAGACAACTGAAGAATTTAGAAACACAACTGAATTCTATAGCCACAGATTGCTAGTTTATTCATTCTCATCACAGTCTTAAAAAAACAACATTATTCAAGATAGTGAAAATTCAGATGAAGTTGCAAATAGCTGTTGATAAATATCATGCTTAACTCATTTTTAAAATTTGTTTCTTAGTTTATATTTGAATTTCTTATCCGTTAATTATTTTAGCAACATCACTCCTTTTATGACTTTCAATTAACTAATTCTCCACGTTTACAAACTGATATATCTTTAAATATTAGGAAACAGATTGAATGGCAGTGTTCGAATTCTTGTTAATAAGTATGCATTAATAGATCTGTAGTTTAAGCATGAATGGAATATAAAAGTATTATGTGATCAACCGGTTCTTTTTATTATTGAAATAATAAGTAAATACGTTAACAAAATGCTATCTTTTATTTTTACATGACTAATAATTACGTGTTTATCTAGTATTCTTCAATGTGGTGTTGTGGAGAGTGTTGAGTTTCATTGAAATGATGGACCAATCAATGTTAAATCCCCGCCGAAAACCTGAAATAACTGAAAGGGCGTTTCGTCTCAGTATTAGACTGGTCGATAGTGCGCATCTACGATGCCTCACGTAGGACTCGAACTCAGGGCCTTCGGTCACGTGGGCTCACCAGTCGCTAGCTTAGAGAGGTAATCCTCAGAGTTCTAGTGAGAATCCGAGACCATTGGGGTTCAACCGTTTCGAATCTGAGACAGTTACACACCGAAGACAACAGATGATGGTCGCGCAACATCGTAGATTGGTTGAAGTCAAACATTAACACCGATGGATGCTGACACGATGGTCTTGAGTTTAGTCGTTCGTGCGAGACATCTTGAGTTGAAGTCCTGCGTGAGGGTTTGTGGATGTGTACTACTGAGCAGTCCGATACTCGAACGAAACGGATGCTCCCAGATTTTCAGTGGGGGTCTAACACTGACCAGTTCATGATTCCAATAAAATATTTATTAATCATTGTGGATTTTCTCTGCTTATGTTATTTTCTGAGCATTATTTTATTATGATTATATTTAAATAAATCATACTGAATTTAATAATGGAATATGTAACGCTGTATCATGTTTATTTTACAATATTTCTCGTTATATTTATTCGTTTTGCTGTTTTTTCAGGGAAGTGATCTCAAAAGCTACATGAGAATGCATAATAATCGTTTGCCTATGAATATCGTCAGATTATTCACTTTTCAAATATTTCGAGGTCTTGAATATTGTCATGCAAGACAAATATTACACCGGGATTTAAAACCTCAAAATTTATTAATAAGCAAAACTGGAGATTTGAAATTGGCTGATTTTGGTAAGAACAAATTAACTGAATATTAAACTCATTTAAAAGAATTACTTTTTAAATGAGTATTACTTCACTACTATTTATTTATTATTATTCATTAGAAAAGCGTTTGTTATATTCGAACTCCTGTGAAAATGATTATTTTAAATGAACCACGGAATATGTATAAATATTTTAATTGCTGATTTTGAGCGAATTAAGTCGTTTAATTTGTTTGTTCTGGTTAGCGTATTTTAGTAAAGTTTTCTTCCACGAGATAGGATTGCTGACCCCATGCCCAACCATCCTCGTTTACCCGGAGTTGGGACCGTTAGTAACCCTAGAACAGATACAGACGGACACGCAAGAACCAGAAGAGGAACTGACATTGCATCAAACCACCACCATCTGTTGGTTGCCCAAATGCGACTGAAGCTAGAGAAGCAATGTACAACTGGACAAAACAATATTACAAAGGGTTATTACAACCTTCCTTCAGTATACTGAAAAACTCAACCAATTCATCATAACTCTCAACACCGGGTTCCAAGCCTTACAAGATCTACTCACTGAAGACAAAACTACTATGAAGAACAATTGGTATGGGTTCAAATACGCAATGACTTCAACGTGTCAGAGGCTTCTGGACCGCAAAAAGCGTCATCATGAAGAATGGATCTCCATCAAAACCTTGGACAAGATTCAAAAAAGAATGGAAAAGAAGACGGTAATTGTCGACAGCAGAACGAGAATAGAGAAAGCCAAGGAACAGACTGAATACACAGAAGCAAACAAACAAGCTAACAACAGCATAAGTGCCGATAAGCAGAAATAGTTGGAAAAGCTAGCAACAACAGCGAGAAAGGCATCAAGAGAAGAAAATATGAGACAGGTATGTGACACAATGAAGAAACTGACGGGGAAATATAGTAAACCAGAGAGACCGATCAACTCTTGAGTAGGCCAGCTCCACCGAACCCACAGGACATTGAAACAGCAAAAACAGACCTTCCTATAGATGTCACTCCATGAACGACCGAAGAAATCAGAACGGTCGTCAGATAAATCAAGAGTGGGAAAACATCTAGACCTGACATGTACCGGCTCAATCACTCAAGCCAGACATAGAACATATCTGTAAACATGCTCCACGTTCTAATCAGGATATTTTGGGAGGAGAAACAAGTATCGATAGGCTGAAAAGGAGGATATCTTATCAAGATATAAAAGAAAGGAGATATAAGCAATTGTAAGAACTACATAGACATCACACCACTATCGGTACCATGAAACATTTACAACAGTGTGTCACTGGACTAAATGAAAGATTCAGTGGACTTTCAGCTTCGAGACCACCAATCTGTCTTTCGTGTGAACCGAACGTGCACAGACCAAATCGAGACACCACATATCATCGTTAAACAATCAATTGAATGCAACTCGTCACTACGCACCAACTTTCCTGACTATGAGAAGGTGGTTGACGATGTGGGTAGGACAACATTATGCAGACTTCTTCAACACTATTAAGTGAGTAACTGAGAAGATTGCCAACATCACATGGAAGCCATACGAAGGACTACACTGCAAAGTCGTGCATGGCGGACAGCTGACAGACTCATTCCAAGTGAGAATCGTAGTCAGGCAAGACTGCTCTCTTCTTCACCTTCTTCCGGCGGTTGACTGGATTCTGAAGACCTCGACGTCTGAGGCGAAGCACGGAATACACTGGACAGCTTGCATGTGACTAGACGATTTGTATTTCGCAGATAACCTAGCTCTTCTGTTTCATGAGTGCCAATGAGTGCAGTTGAAAGCAAGCAGTGTAGCAGAAGCCTCTGCATCAGTAGGCCTCAACAAACAAGAGGAAACAAGCGAAATCTTCAAATAAAACACGGAGAACATCAACTCAATCATACTTGATGGAGAAACTCTGGAAGAGGTGGAGACTTTCACGTATCTGGTTAGTATCATCGATAAATAAAAAGGACCTGATGTAGACGTAAAGGCGAGGACTGGCAAAGCAAAGACAGCATTCCTACATTTGAAGAACATTTGGAACTAAAAAAACTGTCAACCAATACCAAAGTAATGATTTTCCATATGAACGTAAAGATAGTTCTACTGCATAGAATTGAAATGTGAAGAGCTACCACAACCATAATCGATACGGTACAAGTACTTATGAACAATTGTGTACACAAGATACTCAACGTTTGTTGGCCGAATAGTATCAGTAACCTTTTACTGGGGGAGAGAACAAGCCAGCGTCCAGTCGAAAAAAAATTAGGACAAGACATGGGAAGTGGATAGGACACACATTTGGGAAATCACCAAACTACATCACGAGGCAAGCGCTAACGCGGAATCATGAAGGGCAAAGGAAAAGAGGAAGATCAAATAACACGGTGCATCGGGAATTGGAAGCAGACATGAATGAAAAGGATGAACAGCAACTGAAAACAAGTAGAAAGGATCTCTCAGTAAACATTTGGATGGAGATTGCTGGTCGGCGGCTTATGCTCCTCCACGAAGGGGGTGACAGGCCCAGATATGTAAGCAAGTAAGTTTGAGCGAAGGATGTATACAGCTGTAATTAAACATTGTTTTCCACATAATATATGATGGTTAATAATATCAAATAATTAAGAAGCTGAAAAAAATAGAGTGTATTCGAACTTTGTTATCCACAATTTCTCAACAGCTAGCCTAGCCAGATGAGAAGTGATGTTACATTCATTATTTTTACTGTCAATACTGATGCCCGTATATCTGTTCTCTTTAATTAATTTAACTTAAATTAGTATGGGGAAGGAATGTGCCTTATTTGGTTCGAGTAGTTTACGCATGATTGCCTTTGATATTTTGACCCTGAAAAACCATATGTCAGCAATGAACTAAATATAAATCACAATGTACAAATCTTGGTTCAGTGAGAGTTATTTGGTGTTCTGGGCACTTATTTGGTTGAATATCCCTACAATTCGAATCTTATTGCTAAAACATATGGCAATATATGCAATGCATCACAATTAGGGTTGTATGACCACACTTTACAAAATGACTAAGTACATCTTCTGGATCAAACACATCGATGATCATAACAAAATATGAACAATAGGGTCAAATATAAAAATGTTAACGACAGTGATATGTGAGCAGGGAGTGAGGACTTTGGCGTGGAAGATCACATTATTATATTATGGAAAAATTACAGAATGCCTTAAAAAATATGCAGGCCATATATTAAATACATTATTTGCACATCTTCCTTCATTTGTCCTTTGCATGCTTCATGGTTCTTTCAATTCCGTTGTTTTTAAAACAATTAGTCCCTTTGATAAATTTCGATAATGATATTAGAAGACGTTGTTTTTAAAATTGCTCTCTGTTCCCCTTTCTGTTCTCTTCAATTCAATCTTCTCAATGCTCTGCTGTCAGGCATTCCACATTCGACTGTTGCTACATACTACTTATATGTGTCAGCATAAGTGGTATGTATCACATGTGTACATATGATTAAATTTTTAATATTATAATCCTTCGTATAACTTGCCCAATCTGTTTTTGTATCATCTGTACGTCGTACTAAACAGAAAAATTTTACATAATTATATTTACAAAATATTTGTCACAAAAGAAAAATTTATACGAAAATTTTAAACCAATCAAGGCAATATGGTTCAATAATCATAATGAAATAGAATAAGTCTCTACACATAATAGGTAAAAGTACACGTTTATAGTAGGAAGGCAGGTGAACTGATAATAGTAAGAATAATAAAATACAATAACAAAACTCTTATCAATAGTTAAACGTTGGGAATAGAAGGTCAAACATAAAGGGCCAGATAAAATCTATTCGCAGTTCTATATTGGCACATCTCATTGATAGCGATCATGCTGTAGATAAATCGAAATCATTTCGAGTTATCTATCGTATACCTCCATCATTTCCCGACGGAGTCCGTTCCCGTCTCCTATATATTGCTGAAGCTATTGGAATTCGTACATATAACCCCAATTTATGTGTACAGAAGAAATACATGACCCCCCTATCCCTTCCATGGCCGGTTATAACTTAACTAACAATTAAAAAAAAATTTTCTTTTAAATTTTATTATTATCATTATTTATTTTATTCTATTTTTGTTATCATTAACCTTATTTTCACATCCATTATTTACTTGTAATTTTCCACCTCTTTGTATTCTTCACTATCTAATTATTTACGCACTTCTTATTACGTAATGATTTCAATGTTTTGTGCTTACTATTCCTGGTCTATTTACCCATGTTTGACCTTCTATTCCCAACGTTTAACTATTGATAAGAGTTTTGTTATTGTATTTTATTATTCTTACTATTATCAGTTCACCTGTCTTCCTACTATAAACTTGTACTTTTACCTATTATGTGTAGAGACTTATTCTATTTCATTGTGATTATTGAACCATATTGCCTTGATTGGTTTAAAATTTTCGTATAAATATTCATGTATATTAGAGTAAAGCCTGATGACAAAAGAAAAATGACTAAGATTCTTTTAAACTGCTAATGAGTGATAAATATCGCTATTGTAAATTATTCAGAGAAGATTATAAGGCTTAATTATGATCACCCTCCATTATAAAACGACAACAAATGGTCAAATGTGAATAAATTAGTTTTAGTCCTTATACTTTGGATTTCTTTAGTAGTATAAATCAGTTCGATATTTAATACACTAATAAGGATGAGCTTCCTACCTAGAAATGAGAAAATAATTATCAAGATATTAATTGAATGTTTTGTACATCTTGTCCTTTTATTGGAACTTTTATGCTTACTATTGTTGATAATATATTTGAATGTTTGGCATTGATACACGTTAAATCTAATTAATGATACATTTTTATCAGGATCATGTCAGTTTAATTTAATCATTCACTATCATGATAATACTTGAAACATATTTAATTACAACCTATAAACACTCTTGTTTCGAAGACGTTGACTGACTAAAGTTTCACTGCTTAACGCTGTTCATGATATTTTCTAGAACCTTTTGTAGTAGGCCTATTAACGTTTGGTAAAATATTGACATGATATTATTGATTTGTTTACCAGCTAACTATTAATCTTTACGCAGTAATTTTAATTAAGATGAATATTACTTCATAAATTATTCATGAGTTTCTTCTTAGGGTTAAGTGAACATATTTTTTACATTTGATATACTACATTCTACACTTCAGCATAATAGCAATAGTAATAGTAGTAGTGGTAGCAGAAGTAGTAGACATATTTCTGTGGAATTGCTGATCAAGATTTTAAAAGGATTTTCATCACATGATCGTTATCAGTAAAAGCATTTCTTATTATCTATTTGACTTGAAATTATTAGGAAGTTATGTGTTACTGAAATATGTAACCTTTCAGTATATCGATAGTTTCTAAAAGTTTCCTCGTGAAATATAAATGTGATTTGAAAGTAAAATTACCTTCAAAATTTCCATAATGATCGACTATATAATTTGTATAATAACAACTTATAGTAGATGCCATTTTATTTACTGTGTTAGGATTCGGAATAACACTAATTCAAATCTTCTTCAGCCCAAATCCTAAATGTGTTATGTATTTCAACACTATTTATATGATTTAGCCTTAAATATCTGAAACACAGCTCTCAATAAACACAAACGTTGATAGTGTTGGAATCATCAACAGCGGAACATTGAAAGATTAGTTAATAGTTGTACATTATAACGAAGAAGTATGAATCTTACAGTCTGTATCATTAATAAAATTAAGAATACCTTAATTAAAATACGAAGCTTTGTGTCACTGTTGTGAAAATTAATAATGCTGGGGATTATCATTCGCTCACTACTGACCAACTCCAAGAAGGAATGGGTAAGCATATAGTGGAAAGATGTTGATGATAGGGTTCAACAATCATTGGATTTATTGAGATGAAACTTCACAAATTTAAAAATTTAAAACCTCATATACACTCTTATTTTTTGGCTATCATGAAATGAAATAAAGGATAAGTGTTAAGTAAATACTAACAATGGAAATCGCAAACTGATCTTGACTAGACCAGGTTTTTTATTTGTATTTTAACTAAGGTCAATTTCTTGATTTCCACAGTGAAAATACTACAACCTACACAAACCCAATTAGTAGCAGTTGAAGACAATTCGTCTATATTTTGCTTTGAATGAATTAATAGTGTTCTTCGTTTGAAATAAATGCAAATATATTGAAACCCTAGACAAACAAAATTGTTCAAAGTTTTTCTGGTGCATTACTTATTGTTCTGAATGTTAACTGTAATTATTATCACAAGCAGAAAGCTGAAAACAAATAAAAAACTTATATTAGAAATACAATGGCAGTTGATCAGTTTATGATGTAAACAATTCTACCTAAAAACAATTATTCTTTTGTGTTTCTATGCACATGATGTTGCCGAAAATCATTAGACGTTTTCGGTTAAAAGTATTTGTAAAACAACTTGGAATTTTAAATCTACAGTAACATTTTGAAACTAAAACATATTTACCTGTATTATCACTCAACCATTGGTATTTGTATAATTTTTTGTATCAAGATGATATGTAGAGTATTATTCATTCATTCTCTTAACTATTCCAAGTTTGGCTTGGATATAAACGTCGATATAAGTAGTATCATCTGCACATAGAAAATGTAATTGAAGGTCTTACAGTTAGATAGAAATATTATTCATTTAAAATGTTTATTATAAACTCTATAATTTTCTCAAAACATCATAGTTTCTTCATGCACACAACAAAGATTTACAAGCAACCAGTAGTGATATGAATACATGGGTGATGGATTTAATGGCTTCAGTAATAATTAAAAATAATTCCTATGAATGCTACAGATTTATCTTGATCATGACGGGTAATGCATTCAAACATCTTAAATCTAGAATTTCACGTCAACTACATTAGAAACATTGAACAAAATTAGCTATTCTAATTTCATTATTATTCACTCTTGCGTCACATAGGGATAATGTAATTAGATCTTTTCTAGCGACAATTAACATTTCAATATTTAATAAGAAACTAAGATTAAGATAAACTCTTTATAGTCATTGAAATAAATCTAGTTGATGAGTTGCAATGCATTTTCTTGACAAAACCCACACATTAAAATGATCAAATTCAAATACGATAGTGCGCGTTATTGATCCACTGCTTTGTAAATTTTATAGTATACGATGAACATGTATAATTAATAAAAGAGATATAAATGGTTAAATAACAGAATAGGGATACATAAGAAAACATTGATTTTCCATTGAATAATGTCGTTTTCTATACGCTACAATCTAACTATCAATCAGTTGAAATACATGAATTAAAAAGGAAAATTCGTATTTACGATATTATCATTTAAACAAACCACATGAAAGCTAAAATTCAAACCAGAATAGATTTTAAATAAAGCACAAATAAAGTCACCCTAATTTATTCATTACGTGTTAATCGAGGTTTTCACAAAGATTTACGTAATTATCTAGGGTTAGCCTTGAATAATATACACAAACGATTGTATAAAATTGAGATATTTTTAGTACAATAAATTAAGTGAACATTAGTTTAACAGTATCATCTTGTTACCTGTCAGCTTAAAGCATGTAGATAGACAATATTCAATATTCATTAGATGAAGTTGCTATTCGTTAACTATAGAATAGCCTTCACCATTATTTACTTACACCTTGACCAGATCAGTGAATTTACAGTTTACTGTGCATAACTAAGTTAGTAACAAGTTGATGCCATAGTGTTGAGGTTATTAAAAATGTCACGTATTTAACTCATCAGTGAGTTGATTCTTCACGTACGGAATTTTTCGACAAAGTAATATAACGCTTACCAATCATACAGCATAAATATTTTTTTCAAAATATAATCACTAAGTGTCAGTTATTCAATAGTACAGTTTCATCTTAAAAACCACTTTCATTTATTATTACTACTTGGTGGATTTAACAACCCCTAAAGTTACATAACTTTAACTTAAATATTGGATAAACTGTTATTAAATACAAAATATGTTATTTTGAATATAACAAAATTGTATTATCAGTAAAGTGAATGACAATGTGCCAAATTACCACCAACTGATACACGAAAATATTTTATACAGGTCTATGAAGTAACAAAATATTCAAACTAGAATAGGATTGGAAATCATGAAAATTATTTACAAATGAAGCAGAACAAAAATACCCTGCTTTCAGTTCGAAGCGGGTGATTGATGAACTAATTGAATAATCATACAGCTGGTTATTAGAACTTATCCATTAGAGACGATTTACACGGATAGTGACGTGCATAAACAATAACCTGTCGTTCACATTTATCTGCGTCTCGAGAACTATTTATGTACACACGGATAATGATTAAAGTCACACAAATATGTGAATGATGTCAAAAGTCAACTACTGTTTACTAAGCTATTATTCTTGCTTTTGCTCAGCTAAGTTATGCAAACCATCTAAAATGAATAAAGAAGAGATTATGAAATGATTTTGCCACTTATTGTGTTTGCAGAATAGGATTTTAAGTTTAACGAAGAAACATTACATTTATTTATTCAGGTTCACTAAACTATTCTATTCATCTTTTTTTCACCTAGATGTTTTAAAACCTACCTGTTAAATAATATTTTTCAAAGTTCAATTTTTAGATTTTTATTTAGGTAGTTTATTGATTCCCTTATTTTAATTAACTGTTGATAATCTTTAATTCAGGATTGGCACGTTCACAGTCTGTACCAATTAGAACATATTCCAGTGAAGTTGTAACACTCTGGTGAGTCAGTGAGTGAGTAAAATGCTTATTTTAACAATAACTGTATTTTTATATTTTGTAAACTAATTGTTAAGCATAATACACCTTGAACGTGGTGTAATAATTTTTTTAAATAAAATACCAAACTCCATTTATAAAAGGCGTTCAGCATTAAAATCAATTCCTATTGTTCCAAGTTTAAATCATGCAACCTCAAATGACTAGTGTTATGATTATTTTGTTATTCTAATCATTTATATTATCATTCACTAACCATGACTTAACGCTTTTATCAGAGAAATTCCAAGTTATTTAAGGTTTATAAACCATATTCTTGTCCAATGACTAACTTAAAAATTCATAAATCATTTATACCTTTTATGTAAATCGACTGTAGTTTTTGTAAAATTACACTGGAACTAATCAATCACGTTGCATTAGGTATTCAGAATAAACAGTTGGATACTGATGTCACTGAGAAACTGAATATGATTAAAAACCAGTTTGTAGGTTTCCATGTTTAAAGAGAACTTCTAAGGCCTAAATCACAAATAATAACAGTTGGACCTGTAAGTTACCAAAGCATATTACCGATAAACTTTGATTAATGTGTGAGATATTGCTATTCAATATTTATAATTATCATTGAATTTGTTAGTTTACATATTTTTATGCTGTTTAGTAGATGGTAGTTTTTGACATAACACTTGATCTTGTTTGTGAGGAAATCCACTGAAATCTAGGGGGCACTGTAAATAACATTATGCGATCTTGTAATAAGTAACTGTAAATGTTTATTACAATAAGTCTTTGAAACAAAGAAATAGTAATTGCATATATATATATATATATATATATATATATATATATATATATATATATATATATATATATATATATATATATATATATATATATAGAGAGAGAGAGAGAGAAAGTTATCAATTATTAACCGAATATACTGCAAGCTAAATTCCATTAATTCAAAGCCTAAATACGGAGTCAGATCTGTTTGTAGGCTAAATTGTTCCTTTTAATCATTAAAATACAAATTGTGTACTCAAATTAAAGTCATGAATATTTTATCAAATGTACGAATTGCAAGTATTGTTTTTTTAACCGCTACTCTGCACATGATTACTTTTTCCGTTATTGATGACGTTCTGAAGAAATTATTATTTGTTATGTCAAATAGCATAGATTTATGAAACAATTATGATAATCACTAATTGTGTTTAATTTGAATCCTTCTACATGGAAAAAGAAAGAGCTCTTGCTATCGGGTATACTAATAAGCAACTGAAGTAGAATTAGGTTTACATAAACCCACAGTTCATTGTTTAACATTTCATTACATTTGTATGCCTTGGCTATTAATTCAATGATTTTAATACTCTTTCTATGGTAAAACTAAATCAGGATATGATGTATTTGACTAAAAGATAATAAATTTGGATATTACTTATTGACTTAATAATATTAATAGAGTTTTTTTAACCACATTATTACATACGACTTACAAATATACACAAACATATACACATAGAGACAAGACACATTTCTCTGTATTGAAAAACGTAACAACTAGTGTGCATTTATCTCAGTTACTGCAACACACTCAAGATAATCAAAAATCCAAACTTAAATCAATAAGAATTTAACAATGAAAGTGAAGAAAATATTTTTTTGTTTTTAACAAGTTAATTCATTACCATTATGATCATCATCATCACTACACTTAGTCATTGGCTTTATATATTAAATTCAACAACATATAATGCAATCAATTAAATGGTCCAAGTAATAGTCATGATGAATAATTGTATCAGAAAAACTGAATTAATAGTATTTTGTCAACTTGAAGTTGCATGTAGTGATAATAAGAATAATAATTTCAAAAAGTACTCGAAAAGTTTCTAAAGATAATGTACTCGTATTAAACTCCAAAAGTTTATATGTGATGAAAACAAAGACAGACTTCATTGGTATTGATTACTTGAAACAACATATATGAATTAAATGTCACCCTGTTGTACAAGCCAATAGCTACCTGAGCGTTTGAAGTGAAAGAGACTAGTGTTTGAGTCCCTGTGTGAACATCGATACTGGGGTGAAGGTACATCTAGCTGACAAGTCCCAAATAAGACATTGAGTGCGTTTTAGATTGCACTGCTAGCCACCATCTAGCTCTACTTAATAACAGTTGCAGCGCTAATAATCAAGCTGTAACTTTAGAAATTTGTCACTAAGTCAAATAATAATACATTTAACAACTTACAGATAAGAAATTACAAATTGTAGAGCAAGAAACAAGTTACTTGCGAATTTATTTTGTGACGTGGAAAGTAGTTAAGAGGAAACACTGTTGTAATATGTCTTTTTTGGTAGGTGTTATTAGATTATGACGTGTATAATAAATACGTACATTAACTAAGAAACTTAAACTTTAATGAATAAGAGATGATAATCTATGCTTTTTTTTAACTAAGTGCGTACAAATGAAACACTTCATAATACTTATATTCTTTTCCCTATTATTATGTGGATAGCACTTATAAAACCTGAAACGAATTAGTTTGATGATGTGATCTGTTTAACTAAAGCAATGGGGTCAGATGAACTCAGCCGTTTATACATTGGGAGAATTCTATTTCGTTTCTTTATTTTAACTTTCTACTTCAAGAAAATCGCAAAGAAAACATGGTTTTACAGAAGTAACTGTTCAGTCCTTAGCATTTCTGAGAATCTGTGCCACTATCTTGATTTAAACATTTTTATATTCCAGTCTCAAGAACACAGTTCTTTGAAAAACGCTTTATCATTTGAAGTTCTATATTTACTTTGTTAACATACTTTTCAAAGAATTTGTGGGTATTCATTCTTTTTTGAGTAAATTTGTACAATCTTTTACTCGGAAGATATGACTTGAACGAGTTAATTACACCTATTATTCCTTGTGGAGCATAAGCTTTGAACCAAAATCCTTCATCGAATTTTGTCCTGTGCACTCCCGTCCAGTTGTTACCAAGTATTAATCACTCTTTTAACGTCTGCCTCTAGTGTCTGGCGCAATGCGTTTTATGGTCTATCTGTTTTCCTTTTGCCCTGAACGAGTTACTAAATCTTTTTATATATAATAAGCACATAACTTCGAAAGCGGATAAACTCTTTGAATATATAACCCATTTTGCTGGTGGATATGTTAGTGTAACTTTTAATAATGATCGATTGACAAGTTATTATTTGTTCAGGACTACAACAAGCTCGTTTAACACTGCATTGAAGTTGTTCCTTGTACATCCGTAGCAGCAGTCAGCTACCGTAAAATTAAGAATTTCTTCGCATATATAGCTTTTCCTGAAAAAAGTAATACCACTTGAAAGCCATATCATCTAGATACAGTACTTTGATATTTACTGAAAGGATGTTATACCTAATAATAAATTATAAATAAAATTAAGTGAGTTTGATGAGAATCGTTTCCTTATATTTTTGCTCGAATCTATAACAAAAGGTTTCACGGAGTTGCTAAATTAATGTATCAAATTTCTGAAAACCTCTTGATAGCAAAGTACTATGTATAAAATAACCTCATAAAAGTATCCTCCATCTTATATTTGGTTCTTTCATACGTTTTGGAAGTAAGAACCCTGCCTATTTAAAAAGGTCATACATTAAAAGTTGATTTTTCTCAAGATCTGTTTAGATTATATACAGATGTGTATTTTGTACTGTATGACCGAAGCACTATTTGTATGCCTTACACGTAGATAATATAATTCTTCCAATAACTGCACTGAATGGTGGAAATTTTACTAGTCAAATTAAAAATATGCTGGCCTCTATTCGCTGTTTACTAGACCACACTGAAAAAACGTCGAATACCATGTAGTTAAACGTTTTCTTCAATAAAATAACAAACTGAAAAATCATTTTTTAAACCCTACACAAAACACATTTGCGTTATTGTAGCAAATTTATTTGACTGATTGTAGTTACTTTTAGTGTATCAAATTACTTACTATTTGGCAGTTATTAATTATATATAATACATTAATATCTATGTAAAATGAATAGTTCAGAGATAATGCATCTAGTTGCTAAAATTGAAAGAATCAATGAAATAATACACTTGCTAATAATGTTTTTAAGTCAAGTGAATACTGAATCCATGCATCAATTAAAATTAGCTTACAAACTTGGTACATTGTGTAACCTGTAGAGCCTTATTAAGGGATCTAATCTAACTGTAAATAATATTGCTTAAAGAATGTGGCAGATTTTCTATTTTTATTTAATGTAATTTAATAAATATTATTAAAACGAACTTTACTCTGAGATTAACAATGCTCGTAGCTACTACGAACATAAACTATTTAAATTAGGAAATTCTCCTTGTCTGTTTCTTATAATTTATTTTTTATTATAGAGTATTAGTCTAGGTAAAATACTATATCAATAATCTATATTCTAATTTATATAATCCACCCTGTGACTAGCACAGTTTCCAACAGATTTTTATTCACGTCTAATTTATATGATATGTCTATGCCATGATGATAATACTAGACCACATGATGTGAGAATAGTTTTTGATAAAATACTAAGTGTACCATACCTAATCAAATTAAAGTGAAAAACAGGGCTTGATTAGTCTCACATTTTTATCACCATGACTTCACATTTTTCACTCAGTTTTTATAATTTAAACCAAACAACTAAAAAATTTAATCACTAGTACACATATCATATCTATGGGGATAATCATACATCACATTATGATAATTAAACAGTAGAAATATTTTTTTAAGAATATAAACTTCAGTTAAGTAGAAAATTTAATCTACGGAACTTAAATCCAAGCTCATCATTATTGACTTGACTATGCAAAATAATTAGCAAATGAATTAATTTCGTTAAGATTTTTGATATGATTCTAACAAGAGATTATAAACAAATGAAACGATTTTTATTGCAGACTAGTAGTAGCTGAGAAATAACTAAAAAGTTGGAATAAATATAAAATTGTGTTTCATTGTAATTTGAAACAGTATAAAATGAACTTAATAAACACAGGTTTTAAACTCATGGAAAATAGCTGTCAAATTTGAGTAAGAATATGATGTCGATGGTGACGATGACTTCGTTGTGTCACAAAATGACTGGATCTCAACAGTGTGTACCATTTCATTATAATTAGAAATTGTTTGTTATCATGATAACTGCAACACTTTAAAATCTCGTTTTCTAGCATATACAAAATATATAAATATATATAAATAAATATTTTCATACTTAGATGAGACAGCTTCTTGACTGTATCCCAGTTTCATAAACGATATCAATTCACAATAGAAAATGCTTTAAAAACTATACACAACCTATCGTTATCACTCTTCTATCTGAGATGAATGACGATTTTCAACGTGTATGAAATAATTAATCTTTATTCAGTCTATTAAATCAGCTTTACTGGACCACATTAACGGAGATACTGAACATTTCTCCTTGACATTTTTCTAGATAAACTACTTACTTAATAAATCCGCTTGACAAAAAATTTATATTCTTGTTCAATTTAAGCACATTAGTAATAACAAAACTGAACACCTTTATGCTTAATCGATTACCGCGAATTAGTAGCTCAAAAGAGAGAGAGTGAAATATGGACTAACTCAGTCGAATGATGTTTCCGAAAAAAATATTAACATGCAAAATTTTGCTTCTTCGACAACTATTCTTACCTACCTATCGATACTTTAGCTACAAATGAAAAATTATTATTTATATTTCTGAAATGCACTCGAGTTTTTATTTCTAGTAAGTCATATGAAAATAAAGCAACAAGAAAGCACTTTGATCATATTTCTCTAAAGTCATCAGAATTGTATTTTCAGACGCGTTATTTTAAGAAACACTATGGTCAAAAATAATTGACTTGAATTTTTGGCAAATCTTGAAACGTCATTTCAGTTTCATACTTTTAACACGTTTAATAATCTGTTTAGAAATTCCATCATGTTTAATGAAAATATACACTACATTTTAGTGTATTCAAACGATTTATTATAGTTTACGGAAGCTGGACAGCATTGTTCTTAATAAGTCAGTCAAATGGTTTTTAGAAAAGATGTCATTTTTTATTGGTTCCCTGATTTGCTTAAGTAAACTTATTCTATAAATAAAGTAGCCCAAGTTATTGAATTGATCACTTGAAGTTTGGTATTCAGTAGGATTCATATGCTGAACTATTAAATGTCAGTAAGTGACCAATTTCATGGTTTTACAGAAATATATATTTTCAAATATTTAAAAAAACCATTATCAATAAACAAGAGATTAATTTTTTCTCATCCTATGTAATAATATTGTTTTAAAGTCTGTCAGTTAAATGTTACTATCAAATCCATATGAAAACATTATTGATTTGCATATAAAAATGTACTTTTTCTTATTGAATGAAAGACTGAAGATAAATGGTTTAATGCTCAATGAAGAGTTCCAAAAAGAATCAAATGCTGCTTCTGAAATCCCATGATCAGTTACTATCCATTTATACTCAAACATTCGTGACTTAATGATATTTATCAAGGGAACCCGCTTAGTATACACATATAACTAAAGATAAAATGATTCTGACTCAAATAATAAACGCGTTTGTTATCAATTAACTAAAATTATAATCATTCACTTTTAAATTTACATAATGAATCAACTATAACTTATGTAAGTAAAGATATTTTCAGTGAAACATTCAGGAACTTACCATTTATCATATTAAGCTTTCATATTTTATCGTTCTTTTCCATAACAGGTACCGACCACCAGATGTACTATTAGGTGATAAAAACTACTCCGGTCATATTGATATCTGGGGAGCTGGTTGTATTCTGTATGAAATGGCAACAGGTTATAGTCTTTTTCCGGGTACTTCAAAAGAAGATCAAATTAAAATTATTTTTAGAAAATTCGGTAAACAAGTTAATTACTTTATTCCATTCTCTAAATGAATAATTTAGTTAAAATTAATTAATGTTAATTAAATTGTGATATAATCTTTAGGCGTTAAACTTGCTTCATATATATATATATATATATATATATATATATATATATATAAACTTCAATTTTCAATGCAACTTAAGACAATTGATGAAAAGCGGGATTCAAAGTAAACACACATAACATATAACGCTATTTAACTTTATTCATAGAGCATAATAGGGATATCATAAGAGAATATTTGCTGTTTAATTAAGTTATGATCATAGAAACTTAATGTTACACAGTTTTTTTTAATGTAATATAATTATTCTCTGTTATATGAATATTTATTAGATATATATATATTTGCCTTCACGATTGCTTAATACATAGTAGCTGCATAAAAAAGCATTAACAATTAGTATACAGCTTATTTTAAGGAGGTTGATAAATTTTACTATAAGTTGGTGTTAATCAAAAAACCATTGAAACTTTAACTGTATAAAAGATCATATATGCACACTAATTAATAGCGCAATATCTTCATTGGACATATAGTATGTGAATTTGAATCTCATAGGGAACATTGTATCTTTCAAGGTTAAAGATGTACCCACCTTATGAGCCCCAACTAGAGTGAAACCTAGTTATGGGTGTTTCTGATCACCAGATCCAACCAACTAATTTACATGGTGTGCGTAATATTTTCCTGGCAAATAAAATTCAAAATAGTATTCATTTTTTAAAAGTGTTTAGGCAGGTGGTATACATAACACAGTGTTCAATATATTTCATCTTTATTGCCTAGTTGTCATATTATGTACATTCGATCCCTAAATATAGATATGGATTAAACAACAGAGTGCACACTATTTGAATAATTTTATTATGAAATCATTACATCATATCGACTATGAAATCTTGCTACTAACCGGTTGCTATCTATTACATTCTTCATTTGTCCAAATCTTCTAATAGATATGCTTTCTATACACGTAGCCAACTCAGCTGTTTGAACATAAGAACCAAGACTAAATAAAAGTCAAGTCAAGCCCTGAACAATAAAATACGTCCATCACTATCACAAAAATAATGGACAAATATAGGGCCAAGAACCAAATCAATCAAAATAAAAATGTAGACAATGACTGATTAGAGGTCAACAATAGTCAATCAAGACTGAGGTCGATAGGACAAGGTGCTAGTCACGTGTGGAGAAATTCAAACTTTTCAATCCTACCTGAAGTTTGTGCTGATGATGTTATACAGTAAAACAATCAAAACATTACGACCAAACCATTCAGTTCAAAGAACAAAACTCCACTTAAATCATCCACCTGATCTGAAAATCCTACCATTCGACTTACGTCCGATTGGTACAGTTTATTGATAGCCAGTTACAAAATTATTTTTGTAATGAAACATCGAATGAAAGCGGTTTTAATTTTTCAAGAATATTTGTTTTACAAAGCTTCAGAAACACCTTTCTTGACAGTGAATATCAATAATAAAAAAATGGCCGAAGAGAGTATTAATAGAAAACATCCTTAAACATTTCTTTGGAGTTTAATTTGTAAACGTAGTTCTAAATAATACATAAACCTATATTTCATTATTTTTTTACTTTTGATTCAAATAAAATATTTCATACTTTTCCAGGAATTCCACCAGAGTCCTACTGGCCCAATTTAAGGACGAATCCTAAATTTTTAGAATATTTAAATTCAAATCAACATAATGAAAAGTGTGAATCAAATAAGCCGAATTATTCTCAGTCTTCTACAAATCTTAATTTAATTGGCAGTAAAAAATCCTCATTTCAAATAAATAAACAGTTATATGATGAAAATTTCGATTCTATTGATAAATATAATGAAAATATTAAAAATACACTGTCATGTAGTGCATCAAGATTGAATTTAGATGGTCAACAATTATTATTTGAATGTCTTGCATTAGTTGGAAATCGTCGAATTACAGCTAATGATGCACTGAAGCATATTTATTTCAAGTGTATTTTACCACCTGGTATTAATGTACATGATTTATTACCAGAACAATCGATCACATTACTTGCTATTGAACAAAATTCAGTTAGTTCTTTGCAGCGATCTCGAATTCATACCACTAATACTGATACTACTAGTAAGAATAATGGTAAGAAACATAGGAATAAAAATAATTATTCAACACATCTAACTAATTCAATATCTTACGGTAATAAACTGTATAGTAATGAGCAGTTATCAAAAAGTTTAACTAACTTATCAACAGTTCGTTCATATCCTTCGAATGATTCAAATTCATGCAATACACCCACAATCCCACCATATGTTAACAATAAATTAACAACAACAAAACACAGATCGGAAAACGAGCATCAAATACAAGCATTTAAACTGGGTAAAACTAAAACCTCAACACAATTACTTTATAATGAAAGAAATAACATCTCTATTAATACTACCACTACTACTACACACCATCAACATGAACATAATTCTAAGTCTGGTGACAATAATAGTAATAATTCCATTCAAAATGACCAAAGCTCCGATATTGACACGTCACTTAGTTCAAACAGTCAACATTTCATTCCATATGAAAAAGTGTGTAGTCAGCAATATCAACCAGAACAACTTTCATTTTCGTCGTTAAAAAAAACAAGTAAATTGAATGAGAAAATTAAAGAACCTGTTAGAAAATATATGACGATTTCTTCAGGAGATATGCATAAAATACTTTCTAATCAAAATATTATTGGTAATATTGTCAGCTATAATGATAATAATCATAATAATACTGATATCAAGAATAAATCTATAAGTAATACCTCGACAACTAATCTTACAGCATTTGTTAAACGTAAACTATGTTCATTACAAACAAAAGCTAAAGCATCTCGAAATCGTCTGAGATCTTTGTCAACTGATCAACTTAAAATCTTAAGTTTATCATCACCATCTTCAGATTCTTCGAAAGAAATTGAGTTGATTCATGCAAATGATTTTGGTGACGATAATAATAGTAACAAACTAAATAATAGCGACACATTTGTAAATTCACGTAGTGTTCTTAAGAACAAAATTAATGACAGATTTGGTCAAAAGACAGATCAAGTAAGTTAATATTTATGTATACAAACTAAACATTTATTTTCATTCATTTAAATGTATAGAAGGTTTTTATCACTTCAATAAAAAACACTCTAAACTATATTTAAAACACGTTTTCGCAGCCTCATTTCTATTGAATTTTTCGTTGACCACCGTTTATGTTTAACCATATTGATAAAGTGATATTTTTATTGAGATCATGAACCGATCAATGTTAGACCACCACTGAAAATCTAAGTTCGAGTCCCACATGCGCACTCGTGGATATGCACCGTTGAAGAATCCACATAAGAACAAAAAGACCGTCCAGTGCTCTCAGGTTTTCGATGGTGGATCAACATTGATCGCAATTATAACTCAACAATCTCCACGACATTAAATGGTATACGAGAGCATAAAAATCTTAGCATAGATACGAAGCGAAACAACTGTACACTGAAAGATTAAAGCAGGAAAATAATCTTATAGGAGAGGAAAAGTACCTGGTTCGTTTAAGAACACAGAAAAAATATATATCGTTCTCTTAGACCTTCCCCTATGATTTATAAAAAAATGAAACATCAACAGGATTATCCAAACCTTTATTCTGATGTTTGTCTGACGACATCTCATGCCACAGTGTACCGTCATTTCTGGGACTTGATTTTCAAAGTAGTAGCAATTCGACAGATTGTAACAGAATACAAATATCCTTCACTCAATAGGAACATTTCGTAAACTGATCCCTCTATTTATCTGCCTAGTTTCTTTGTCAACAACAAATGCGTTGCATAATAGCTCCTGAAGCGATAAGGTTAAAGCGTTTTCAAGGTGACAACGTTACTGAACAATAATCTTTGCCGTTTCCACACATCTAGATTATTGCCGTTTAATTCAGTAAATAAGCTCACTTAATATCATTATGCAACACTACGTTATCTCAAATCGAGAAAGTTATTTCAACCATATTTACGGTCACTTTTTATTAAACCTCACAGTTTGTCAGTAAACAATTTCAAAGCTAGAAAATCTTCAACAGTTATTCATTCATGCTTTGAACTGAGCTGTATACCGATCGTTGTTGCTAACCTGACGTGGTGGTCGGGCTTGCCTATCGTGATGAAACACCTGAGCTATACTGGCTGGAACAACCGTTCTGAAAGGTCCTACCATGTCAGACAGGTCGGTTTGAAGGCGGAGTCGTACTGCTGACTGTACAGAGGTGTGACAGCAGTAAGGTGTTTCCTTCAGACAACCAGCATGACAGCGATACTGCCTTCCCACAAGGAGGGTTGGGGTTAGAAAAGGTCGACCCTAAAAGTGCACACCTCGCCTTATCCCACGGATATCCGTCTCCGGTGGTAAGGTCTCAAAAAGTACGGAGCTAACACAAAAATTACCCATAAAAAGGTCGTGTGTGACCGACCTCAAGCAGTTGTCCCTTGGGGATTGCGGTCACGCTCTTAGGTCACTAAGACCACCTCTAATCCAATTTCCTTTTCAGGCACCTCGAGGAGAACCCTTCCATGGTGTGGGCAACCGAGAAGTGTTAACCGCCCTCATACCTCTAACAGCACTCAAGACCACTGTATTCCTAATCAACCTCCCTCCCCAATTCCTATTATTCCTCCTACATCGACTTTCAACTCTAAACTTCCTCGTTCGCCTTCCTTCTCAAGTGTCAACATAGCCAACGATTCTAGTGCTCAAAACACTGTCCCAGGTCTACTGAAAACTCGCTCCAAACTACACATTGGAGCCTTCAACGTACGAACCATAAATCTAAGGAACGACCGTGAGCAGTGGTGGGCAACGAAAGCAAAAGAGATGGAAAAGGCGGCGACTATAGGGAACTCAAGACAGCTTTACAGACAAATAAAAGAAACTGGAATTAATAAGTCAAGCGTAAGTGAGATTATTTCGGAAAAAGACGACACCCTCATCTGCTCTCGGTCCAGACGTTTAGAACGATGGGTGGAACATTTCAGAGAACAGTTCAGCTGGCCTTCAGCTACTCTACAACTACCCTCCATTCCCAGACAGTGTGAATGGAACATTGAAGTAGGTCCCCCAACTCTTGCTGAAGTTCAAAAGGCTATAGTTAATCTGAAACGAGGAAGGGCAGCTGGTCCAGACGGATTGGCTCCAGAGGTGTTTAAGGATGGTGGTCCAATTTTAGCGATTAGGTTGACTAATATTTTAGCTAAGATCTGGGAGTTAGACATTATTCCATCTGACTGGTCACAATCACTTATCGTCCGAATATATAAGAGAGGGTTAAAATCATCCTGTAACAACCATAGAGGGATTAGTTTAACAAATATAGTATCTAAAATACTAGCCTCGATAATTATCAGACGCTTGACTAAGACTCGTGAACTTCAAACACGAGAGAACCAAGCTGGCTTTAGACCTGGTCGTGGCTGCATCGACCACATATTCACCATTCGTCAGGTTCTAGAACACAGGCATACTTATCGGCGTCCGACAATGGTGGTCTTTCTCGACTTGAAAGCAGCATTTGACTCGGTAGACTGCGAGATTCTGCGACAGTGTCTGTCATTGAAAGGCGTACCTCAGAAGTACATAAACCTTGTGAAGGCTACTAGTCAAGTCAGAGCTCATGGCGAACTGTCATCTACTTTTGCAACCTCAAGTGATGTTCGTCAAGGCTGTCCACTTTCTCCATTTTTGTTTAACTTCATCATAGATCTACTGATGGAAATAACATTCTCGTCGACTGAGTTCTCGGGTATTGATCTCCTTCCAGGAGGTCCACTTATCGACTTAGAATACGCGGATGACATAGTTCTGTTTGGTGAAGACGCTGATAAAATGCAGAGTCTTTTAGTAGCACTGAGCAACAATGCCAGAATGTTTGGAATGCGCTTCTCTCCCTCTAAATGCAAGTTGTTGCTTCAGGACTGGCCTGAGTCAACACCTGAACTAAGGATAGAGAGTGAAGTAGTCGAACGCGTTGACAACTTCACTTATCTTGGAAGTCTGATCAGCCCTAATGGGTTGGTGTCTGACGAAATCTCAGCACGGATTCGAAAAGCTCGCTTGGATTTTGCCAACTTACGTCACCTATAGCGAAGGCGAGATATCCGTCTATCAATAAAAGGACGAGTATACTGCGCGGCAGTTCGTTCTATTCTGCTTCACGGCTGTGAAACGTGTCCATCAAGGATAGAGGATACGCGTAAGTTACTGGTATTTGATCACAGATGCCTTAGAAATATTGCTGGCATCTGTTGGGATCACTGGGTAAGTAGTAGTGAGGTTAGACGCAGGGTATTCGAGAATGATGGTAAACCAGTTGATGAGGTTATGAATCTTCATCGACTGAGATGGTTGGGTCACGTGTTACGTATGCCTGAACACCGATTACCACGACGCACAATGCTGACTAGTGTAGGGGATGGTTGAAAGAAAGTTAGGAGCGGTCAAACCAAAACGTGGCATCGGTGCTTGAAGTCATTAACTTCTGATCTGAGCCATGTTGGTAGATACTACTAAACTACTTGGTTGGGGTCCACGTGACTCTCGTAACCAATGGTTGGAGACTCTGGGTGACATGGCTCAGAATGGATCACAGTGGCGTAGGTGTATACACTCTCTGTCTTCCCTTAAACTAAGAGATTAAAATCGCCTCATATCTTTCTTTCTGTGAACTAATTATTTCTTCCTGTACTATATCCTTATTGCAATCTTTCTTTTATATATTACCACCTCTGAATTAACTACTTTTATGAATGTGTTTTCCATCTTGTTGTGTTAATGAGGTATGGCAACTCGGACCGATGCATATATATGCCTGGTCGTACGTTGTAGCTGACTGAATGAATGACTGACTGAGCTGTATGAGCTCAAGTGACAAGTGAATCGCGAAATGTCGGCTATGCTAGATCTTGGTAAAAAAAAATCACTACGAGCTGTCTTTGGATCAATTAAAAATCCTAAGTCTATTCACTTTCATTCCAATAAATACTCTCTTAAATTATCAAAGTGAATATAACAGTAATTCCCTTAAACAATTCAACTTGTCAAAGTTTCATATTGCAATCAAACTTAATGCATACAAGAGTATGCGCTATCGATCTAACTTTTCATCATTTATCATTTATATTTCTCTGTATACAATCATATGTATTTAAATCTTATTCGATTCTTTCTACTGTGACAAAAAGAACGTTGTATATATGTTAATAAACGCAAACGTTAATTGAATTCTAGTTTATTTTTGCATAGATAAATAGGTCGTCTATAAAAATGATTATGCAAGTATTCAAAATAATGAATCATTCTACTATACAGATAAGTGATACAGGTTCGAAACGTAAATGTTTACTTATGTACATATCTCTCAAAATAAATGAGTGTGTTGTTATCTATTCATCTGTTGAAGAAAACAGAATGTTCAGCGTAAACTTTTGAAAAATAAGTTGATTTATTTCTAAACTACAGAATTAAATAAGAATGGATAACTAACCATTCATTGTAACACTTTGACAATAATATCCAATAAAGTTTGACATAGTTTCATTGAGATTATGGATGAATCAGTGTTGAACTATGATTACAAACCCGGAAGCATTGGACGTACGTTTTGTCTTAGTATGGTACTCCTCAGAAGTGCGTAGCAGTTCGACATAATTAAACTGCATACTGAAGCACTTTCTAATTATTCTTCTCCAAACATTATGCTTCCTTCTAACCTGCTCTTCTCGTTTATATTTCAATCTTGTTCTTTATGATATCACAGATCTTTGATTTGATCTTTACCAGTCCACTTTTCAATCGCTAAACTTTTCAACGAAAATACATCAACTAATACGCTAATATTTGAAATTACTTTCTATTATCCGTTTACTATTGTCAAATCATAATCTATTAATAAAAGTGTTTTACATGAAACACTTGATATTTTAAAAAAATATATCATTTACATCGTTCAAGTTACCCAATTGAATATACAAAGTATATAATGATAAATCCCTATGTAATATTTAGTTTTGCTAGTATATTCTGTAACCAACTAAATTTTAGTCGCTAAAGTATTTTGATTTCATTCAATTTTATCCTTGTCAATATTTTGATTTCTTTTTTTCTTTTGTTGGTTTCTACTTTCACTTTACAACAATAATTGAACCGTCAAACTAGAATAAACTATCAATTGACAAAAATATAAATAAAAATCATGTTGATTTATCAAAATCTATACAAATCATTAATAAATCATCAAATATCAAAACAATTATAACAAATTATTCAAATAATTCAATGAATCGTTTAAATTATAATAAACATTCTCAATTATCATCATCTGCATTTATACGAATACATCGGCCAAATAGTTTTAATTTAAAGAATTTACAACAAAATTATTGTTTTCAATCAAATAATTCATTAGTTCATTTAAATTCTCATCGTAAAAGTTGGAATAGTTCTGGATCATCAAATTTAGGTAGGAAATAATTCATATATGATGTATATAATTATAGATTTTTTATTGAGAATAGATTTATTACTAATGAATTATAAGTGTTATTATTATTTAAGGTGTTTTTAACGAGTTATATATATATATATGAATTAAAACAAAATCATATGAATGAAGAGGAAACCTGGAGAACTATGAATGCTATCATTCAGAAGATAAAAGTGTTTATTAACAGCTGTCGGATCCGTTGGCCAGACACTGTTGGCAACAACCTACTATGGGAAAGAACAAACCAGATCCCGGCGGACGAAGAAATCAGGAAGAAGCGCTATAGGTGGATAGGACACACATTGAGGAAAGCACCCAACTGCGTCACAAGACAAGCCCTCACATGGAATCCTCAAGGCTAAAGGAGGAGAGGAAGACCAAGGAACACATTACGCCGAGAAATGGAGATAGACATGAGAGAAATGAACAAGAATTGGATGGGATTAGAAAGGAAGGCCCAGGACAGAGTGGGTTGGAGAATGCTGGTCAGCGGCCTGTGCTCCATTGGGAGTAACAGGCGTAAGTAAGTAAGTATATGAACGAAGAGTATTCCTTTCCAATAATTTCTCATCAGGTTCTACAATTATAAATCCAATTTAACAATCCATGAAATTTGCCAGATTTAGGGCAGAGTACATCCTTTGGAGATTGTAACATGTGAACTAAGAATTGTTGTTTGTCATATAAAATCCAATGAGACCGTCAATGTTGGGGCTGGCTAGTATTCAAAGGACTTTTAATGCAGGTAAACTACAAATAATGTTTTTCACACGTCCAATAATCCCTCCGAGGTTGAGGGATAAATTGCCTAGACTAGCCACCTGTTTCTGTATCTATCCATTCAACTGCTCCTGTAGAGTAAGTTATATTGGCAGATGTTCTAGGAATTTGTACATTCGAGCTCGTGAGCACCTCCCGTGTGGTTAAGCAAAGGTTTAGTCAAAACGGTTAGCAGCTCCATTTTAGACCATCTAGTTCAGACGGGACATACAGCCAATATGGAGCATTCTTTCTCAATAATATATCGTGTTAACAACAGTCTACCCAATTCCGTCAGACTGAGAGTCCTACAGACGGCTGAAGCAATTGCTATTCGGATTGAAAAGCCAGAGCTTTGCATCTAAAAGAAATATGTACAGCCACTCCTTTTACCCTGGCCAACTTTGGGACCAACTAGTTAATAATCAATCTTATAATATTGTGACGTAATTTGATTAATGTTCATTTTATGTCCCAAACTTATTATTACTATTATTACTATTATTATAATTAGCTTTACCATTATTATTACCATCTTTATCGCTGCTATTATTATTATCATTACACTTGATAACCTTTTTGAGGAATTTGTTCACTATCCACCCCTATCTACTTTATCTGACCTAATTCATATTATTCTACGTAATACGTAATTTCTGATTTTTATTCTATTATTCTCTCTCTCACCCCATGTTGACCATATTTATTCTGATCATTTATCGCACGATTTCATTTCACTTATAAACTGATTCAAGTTAACGATCTGATTTGATAACAAAACACAAGTCTTAATTCACATATTACAACTTCCAAATGATGTACTCTGCTCTAAATCTGGTCAATTTTATGGATTATTAATTTGGATTTATAATTGTAGAACCTGATGAGAAATTTTTGAAAAGGAATATTCTTCGTTCATACAATTGTGTTTTAATATAATGGGAAATTTTCAACGATATATGACTTAAGTTGGTTGTTGATGATCTATTTTAACAATTTGTTAATTTAGCCGTATTTATGCTAATTTTTTCTTCCATCAAGGGTTGAATCAATTTATTCTATAATTTACTTGAATAAAATATGTAACTGTACCATAAATAGATTGAATAGACTTATTATGAAATATATAGTAATTATGTATAAATCAGTATCTTGTTTGGTTTAGTTTTTAAACAAAATTTACTTGACGATAACTTCACAAACTGATCTATACTTATTTCCTCACAGTAGATTAGTTTATCTAGAAGTAACTAATTAATGCATCTTCAAAATAAGTTTCACAAACTTAAATATAAGATTCTGTGATAATTTTATTGTTTGACGAAAGTATATTAACTGAAATTACAATGAACTTATTAACAGATAATGTCCTTAAATATTTTATAACAGTCAATATCTTTAGAAAAATGCCTAAATATCATATTTTTTTCAGTAATTATCAAACAACTAAAAAGTTGTATTGGGAGACTATTTTCATGAAAGCTCAAGAAATGTTTTTAACTAAATCGCCAAAACTACAGACTATAAAGCTAGAAAATATATTATTTGTCACTTGTTGTGCTTTCCACTTTCTTTTGTACAATTTACATGCATTAGTTTTTTTACAAAAGTATTCCCGTTTATTTCGCCAAAAAATGTGACAGATAAAAGGTTTTTAAGGATCATACATTTTGCCCTATGCTGTTATTTAACACGTCAGCTACATTGATTGATTGCTAGATATCAATCAATGTCATGTTAATATTTAGTCTTCAGTGCTGATCGGATTCTATTGACCACGTTGCCAAAGGCCCACTAGTGCAAGTTAATCGATCTCCCGGAATATATGAAACATAGTGTATATGATACTGAGTCACCTGGATCAATAGGTTTATTGCGATTCGATCGGCAAAATTTGAATAGCACTATTGATTTGACGAATTTAACATAGGTTATCACTTGTTGATTAATCCATGTAGCTATATCAGTGCTACAGTAGGTCAGAAGTGGTTTGAGTAGACCAGTGATCACGCCTTGGACTGTCAACCTTTATGAAGAGTCGGAATCTTATAGGAAACGTCAGTTCCTTCAAGGCTTTAAAAACGTCTTATCGACAAGTGCCAACTAACTTAAAACCTAGATTCAGGATTTCCTACTTACTACCTCCATCCGCTTTACACAATATTATCTATCCGAAATGCTATAATTATGGTCGTAAATTGAATATTTAAGCTTAGACAGACAGAATCCGGAATAGGATTAAATGAAATTGCACTCATTTCCACAAGTATGGTTGTTATTGTCCTATTAACCATAGGCTCGCTAAATATCTATCAATACAATAGTTTTACAACTCTGTAAACTCATTTTGTGAAATACAATTATCATATATATGGATATATATAACAATTCTTTAATTTTATAGATACTCCATTTGATGAACAGAGTGTATTCAAATAGAACATGAACATTACTGAGATACTCCATAAAAACTATCTTATACTCCATCTAAACAGAGAATAAAACTCATCATAATCCCTGGAATGAATAACTCTTATTCATATTTTCAAAGAAAAAAGTGTTCTCAATAAAATTTCTAAAGAATAAAGATTAAAATAAAGGTATTTTAACATTTTCTTATAATAATATTATCATTGTAAAAAGTTTGTTATGATTTTAATATGCCTTGTCATCCATAGTTTATTTCCTGGCCTTTTTTTCGTTTTGTATTTCCTTTCTTTTAGTGAAATGAGTAATAAGCTTGATGTCATTATTATTATTATTATCCCTCGACCATTATATTACTTTAATAATACAACCCATCATATGTCCCTTTTTTCTCTTATTCTTATTGTACTGATATAAATGATAGAAATATTTCAATATTTTTCTGCAAAATAAAAAAAACAGACAAAATGAACAAAAGAATTCACTAATTTATTTTTTAAATTATATGATTAGAATAATCTTACACAGATCAGAAAAGATCATAAATTTTTTTGTGAGATTCAATTCTTTTTTTGTTTTAGTTCAATGACACGTATCTTGTTTTAATTCTTTCATTCACCGGTTCCAATATTTACTTAATCTTATTGTTACTTATCTTATAAATTACAATATGGTATCAATATATACAAATAAGTTAGCTTATTCTAACCTTCTATTTATTATTAAATCTCGATTACTTATTTATTATAAGATGATAAGTAACTTTGTTTTGTATGCTTGCATTTTTCTAACAATCATATCATTAAACGTTATTCTAGGCGTCAGTCTTAGTGCACCATTACAGATTGGATTCTTTGTAATAAGCAATAGAATCAAATTAAAAAGGATGGAGATTAGAAAATGTTAAATCATAAATCTGAAGAACAATAAACCAAACTATATGAAAATGTGATACTTAAGTAATTTAATTTTTCTTTCCTAAATGACTAATTTACTCGCTTTTTCTCTTCACATCTTACAAACAATCGAAATAAACAGATTTTCTGTTTGAATATTCTTTATTACATTTGAACATTTGTCAAAGCAAATATTTTTTTCCTTCATTTTGGCCATATACAAATACGTATTTCATAATTGTTTACTTAATAACTGTAAATTTCTCTTTATATATCAAACGAAAGGCTTATGACTAACACGTAACTTTGTATGTAATACATTTAAATATTACATCACTATTATTACGTCAGTTTACATGACCTTTCAGATTGATTTTACTAGCCATTTTACATCTGTTGCAAAACAGTGAACTTTAAAACCAAGGATTTAAAAGCTGGGAGGAAGGTTAACTGATGGCACTTTCGTGAGGCACTACGTGAGGCATGAAAATCGCCAGATAATAAATTCAAGTTTAACACCTCGAATATAGTACTTCCGTTATGAAATGTAAATGTTCTGCTTGCAGTTGGATAAACGTTAATCACTATGTGCTGTTTTTTTGTTAGAAACTACAGGAGTTAGTTTGTTTATGAGTTGACTAATTTAAGTTAGCATGCATTGCATCAACAAATCCAAGAATAAACTTATATGAAAATATATAAATGAAAAGACTGTGATAAACTGTTTTAGATAACTTAGTGGAAAAAACACGTTGGGATACAGAAGTTTCAAGTGATAAGTAATCAATAGAAATAATCCAGCAAAGTAAAGAATAAAATGTATGGCATAATAATAGAATGTTTAAGGTTAGAAAAGTAAAGAAATTATGTCAGTGTAACTGTAACAAATTTTAAACCACATGAACTTGATTCTTCAGATACCAATATTGATTACCCAAAGCCTACAGTAATAAAACAAATCTGAGTATCATCAAAGCTAAACAATTTTAAAGTTTAACTACATCACAGTTAAAAAGTGTAGCTTTGTGATCTGTGTATTGCTCCATTGTGATTATTTCTCTTTTCAGTTTCTAGGTAGCTATTAATTACAGTCCACACTTTCGTGAGTAGCAATCACTTGATTACAAAATGATATTAGTGTTACCGATATACCACATTTGTTTGTTTATAGTAAATGACTTCATAATTTCGTAAACTGCAAAACTGAATATCCATTGAAAATCGTAAAGTAACAGATATACGATCCTTTTTTCATTATGAATATTATGTATGTTTACTGTTGATCTAAGAGCAATCACATAAAGGACCTTCATATTTCTCGTTGAAAAAAAATAATACTGCTTACTACTGAATGGATATTTAATAGATGCCGTTACTTAACTTCAAAAAATTCATGACTAACTATTCATAACTATTTGTCTTAAATCTCAATTTCTGAGATCCATTAAAACGGAATAAATTGTTTCAACTTCAAAAATTAATGATACTCCTTAATACCTCAACTTGTAATTCGATAGATTTTTTCTTCTATCAGCTTTACTATCGGTTAAAAATTAATGAATATATTCCAGAATTATTACATTTTACTGTATTAATGGTAAGATTCTTTAAAGGTTAGAAATAGCTTAGGAACTCACCAAAATTTTACATGATGAAAAATGATGTTGATAATCATTAAGGAGATGAAACACTTAACTTTAATATTTAGATGTTAATTTATAAAACGTAAACACTTAAAATTCCCCCAAAACTAATTGATAAACAAAAGTTAGAGACATTTTAATTTGACCTTATATCTTATTGAGTTTATTTTTTTCAATATTATTAAGCATCAGTTATACTAGAAATTGAATGAAATGTTCCAGAACTTACATTAACTAAGGAAATGTAGATGATTAACTTTAATTGAAAAGACAAATATAATATAGTAATAGCGATTATCAAATTACTGTAATGAACTGAGATATAATGGAATGTAATAAGATATATTTAATGTCATTGTTACTATAAATGTAGAAGGAAATGTTTACTATAAGATGCATACACTGTCAGATGTCTTGTCGTCCCTTACTGGAAAATACCTTACTGATTGACAAAAATGAATGAACCAACTGTTTTTCATTATTTCTGTGAGTATCGCCTATTTTCTATCTCCAATTACTGTAATAATATCTTTTAAAACACATATATTCGTTGTTTTGAAGCTGACAAAACTGGGATGAAAATGTAAAGCTAACTATTTAGGCTTGTAGACTTTGCTATTAAGTTATTTTGAATAATAATTATCTGTTGAGTAACAATCATCACGGTTAACTTGAAAACAGATTATTCATTTTGGTTTGAACTATAAAAATTAGATTATTCAAGCATTCATATTAGCAAGGTGAATGGACTCTGAAAATTAATCCTGACAGTCATAAAACAGAAATATAACTAAATCAAAACAAAACACTAGATCAAATTCCATATATCAATGAATTTGAATTGAAAGTAATAAATTGTTAAAACGTCTTTGGTGTCCCTTGGAAGAGCATTCATGTTCCTAATAATGTTTGTTCTACTTTTAACTTCAAAGGACAGTTCCCTTACAGCTTTAGTGGAATTTATTCTGAATTATCTTATACGTTCGTTTGAACAATTAGTGTAGATAATAATGTCTTAAAGAAAAGCGGGTATTGTAGAGCCTGGTTAAACTAAGTCGTAATACAAACTGAAATAAAACTATACAACATGTTCTATACCTATTCTTACATATACAGGTGACTGGAGAATTCGAGTGAGAGCTTCATAGAAAAAACTACTTCCGTGTTATATAAATTCCTTAACTTAACGTTCACTTGGTGGGATCGATTTGTCACTCGTGAATAAGATTTTATGTAACAGTATATAAAGCTTGTTTTAATCATAATCCAGCTGCGACTTTTTTCGATGAAATTCCAAGTTCATGGTAAGTCTATCTAACCACACTGTCAAATAATAATTGTATAGATGACTTGTCAAACTTGAAGATATGGTCATGTAGTGATAAATGCTATTCATGAACTGACTAAAACTTGACACAATAATGATTGCATTCAGACTTATCAGAATTATCTTAAAGCTCTTTCTAACTTATCCCGACTTCAGAATGTCTTTTTTAACCTAGAATTATCAGAACAATCTTCAATAATAATACTGATATAAATATTAAACTGTAGTGACCTACTTTTATCAAGAGAACGCGATTGGTGTAATGGAAACAATTATTATTATAAGCAATTGTATCAGGGATTGTTTTACCATACTTGCTTGCTCAACTGTACCAGAACACATACATTCTTCCGTTGCTTGTGTCCTTGCATAAATGCGGTTACGCTCAGTAACCACACTTGTACTCCTTTGGCACGATCTCGGTATTCCATCGATACCACAAGATCGCCAACAAATACGTCTCGACTACAGCCGTCAACTGCCTTCTGGTATTTGGCCTACGGGGGATCTTGTCGGTCAACTGGCACGTAGTCTTCCTGTAATGGTGATCATAGTCAAATGCGACTCGACGCCACGCTATAAAACTAATAAGTTGATTTCTCAGTAGACCACTGATTTCAGGTGTTTGATCATATTTCTGAATTTTCAACTATAGCTGTTTAATAATCCGTTTAACTTTTTTTCTATTTTATGTCATTATTTCTTCTGACAGTATTTGCTGATTGAGTTAACTATAGAATAAAATTTCTCGTTAGCTCATAGTGGTAATATCTTTATCTTCTTGTAGTATTTCGCATTCGTGCTTTAAAACATTTCATCTCATTTTACATTAATCAACCTCACTTTTCTGTTTATCCGTTGTAAATAGAAGAAACACTTCCACGTGTTTTGAATAATTACTAAGTATGATAAAATTCTATGATGTTTGCACACAAATATCAAGTTGTGTATTCCAAAAGTTACTTATTACATACACATGGGGTGTTTTTATTCACATGCCATTTATATATATATATATATATATATATATATATATATATATATATATATATATATATATATATATATATATATATATATCAGCTGATTTATCAAGCAGTTATTTATGAACACATTTTATACAGTACGTAGAAGGACACAAAAAAGTCTACTTCATTTTATCGACGTCTTATCATTTGTATTCACTTTGAATCTAATTACGTATATAAGCGTCATACAAAAGAGACTAACAGAGGTTACACATTAAATCCTAAATTATTTGGTTTATATTTTGTAAACAAGCAAACATATGACATAGTCAAGATAATGGAAGCAATGCTCCATAATCATAATTATTGGTAAGAACTAAATACTTAAATAAAACCATTTAATATGACCAAAGATTATTAAGTAGCCATTTGAGAAAAGTAACTGAAATCATAATGAGAAAAAATGCAAACGAACAACATCGATTATAATAATAATGTTGATGTAATGATTCAACAAAATACTAGTACTACTACATATTATTAATGAGTGAATAATTGTTCACTGATTACTTGTTACAGTGGAACAAAGACTGATAGTGGTAGACGCAAGAAAGAAAAATAAGGCTGGTAAAGAAGATATATTTGTGCATCAACTGTAAAAATCCACAACTAATCAAAACGACATCAAACGTTACGGTGAAATGTATATCATTTAATTGTTTGATCAACAGTGAAATTTGAATACATTGAAATGGAAGTAGTTGGCATTTAATTGATGAATAATCCAATGTCTGTATATAATTCGCAATATCAATAAACTAACTGTTTTCTCTATTTGTTTCCTGTTAATAAACTAACTGAAAATTAATACAAAGTCTTCATAAATATCATAAACATCTTCAAACCTTTCTAGCAAACAAAAACAGTAATTCGACATTGAAACTCAATACTGTACTAAGAGATTAAAAAAGGGTAATAAATACAGTTTAATTGTTTTTCAAATTGATATACACTTGGAGAGTTCCACTGATTCGATTATCGAAGTGAAGTTAATTTTGAAGCTAAATCAATGTGATAATATTATAATATCTATTCATCACATTACGTAAAGAAATATCACATGGGTGAAAGAAAGAAACGGTTAAAACATATAAAAAATCTAGTTTCGTAACGAATGTAAATGTGCATATATTTAATAAGAGCCATGGAAATAGTTGATTTTTTTCGGCTCCTGACTTGAATTTGATTTTCAATTTTGTTTTACAGTGGTCACTGTGATAGGCTTCTTAATATCTTAGATAAATATGATCAAAACCACTCATTTTAATTCTCTATTAGTTTCTAAACACAGAATAAATCTCATAAGTCTAAAATCAGCATCATTCTTGAAGTATTTGGTGCTTGTATTGAAGCGACACTACTTTGTATAGAATGATACACAGGGTACCTAAATGTAAACCGGTGCAAATGTTTGACCGATAGCTTTTTGCCAAGAGTTGCGCCCAGTTAAACTAATAAGATTGGCGTCAATATCAAAGGTTACAAAGTGTTTTTGGAGGCTTTGCATACTAATACAAAACTTTCATGAGGTAGGCTAGTTAGTAAACCAAATACTCAGTCATGTTTATAATTAAAACTGAAATGTCTACCA